ATCATAATGTCTAACTTGCATAATGATTCAGTGCCATATACTGTTTACTGAAGTAGCCTAGTAGTTATATCAACATCTTATACAGTCAACAACTGAATATCAAATCAAATAAAGTACAATTCAGTCATATTTCAACAATATTTATTGTCAGTTTTTTCTTTTTAGAGCACGACATGTGAAATAATTTCCCTCTGACTCATTTTCTTCTCTGACTGCTGTTTCTCGCCTCGTCCCTCCCATGTGTGTGCATCACTCACTCGAGTCTCAGTGCTCATCGTAATGCACAGATCTGATTGGCTGGGTAGCGTCACGTGTGATATTGACAACACGTGATTAAATAGGACCACCCCGTCGAAATTAGATAATTCTCCATAATTTATCGGTTATAGGTCCAGGTCTGCATAGGACAGCGTCTGGGTCCGGACTCGGACCGCGGTCCGCCTATTAGTGACCTCACGGGGAATAAAAGTGTGGAGGTGCTGTGCCCTTCACTCTGTTCTTCTCCTCCATGGCCTGCTGTTAGTGTGTATGTGTGTGTTTGTGTGTGTGAGGGTGGACAACATGGACGGGCGGCTGACTGGCTACAGCTGCTAAGGGACCACTAATGGCCACTTGTGATATTTTAAACATCTGGTATTTTCACATGAATTGTTAGGCTGTATTGATTTAAACAAACTATAATACAGTGGGTCCACCAGACCACCGAGTAACACAAGGGTTAACAGGGTAAATAGTAGAGTCTTCAAAAAGCCTTGAATGAAATCTCAAACGAACCTTGCCCACTTCTCTCTAGTGTAAGGGTACATACAATTTAAAGGCCTCTATTTCACAAAACTGTTCTGTGGGTTCACCGTACCGTGTTACTCTTAGGCCGCACTGACGTGTTCAGTGATTCAGTGCATTCCAAACAGCACACTAACCACCATAATGTATTAAACCATGCAGACCACAGCATTAGATAGGGTGGTAGTGATGAGATAGGAAGAGAGAAAGAACCTTCTGTCTTCGCCTACCAGTGAGTCCCTTCTGAGCCAAGAAAGAGTTTACACTGTAATCTTCATCATCATTAGTGTCATCATCATCATCCAGCAAGCATATGATTATGCTAGCATGTCATTAGCATACAATTTGAAAACAGCACGCCGACTGATGAAAAAAAAAGCTTAAGTAAACCTTTCTGTTGGTATTGTTTTCACTCAGTTGATGTTCAAGAATAAAACTGCAGAGCTTGAAATATCAGCAAGAAAATCTGCCAGCTGCCAAGAGGCTCAACTCAAACTATAAACAGGTCATGGACCTACTGTTGAATATTTACAAAATCCTATTGTGGTCTGCGGAGGCAGGATGCATCTGAAGCACTTGGATTGTGTACATGAAACGCGGCGCTCCAGAAATGTGACTTCTGATTGGCATGTGTGCTGCTGGCCTATCAGGAAGAGGGCCATGCTAGACGCTTCGCTTTGCTCAGCACAGAGAGAAGCTGATGTCTTTGTTTTTCTCACATCTCTTGTTTCTGATTGTGGCCACTCATGAATTTTAATTAAGCAGCCCTCAAAGCATAAAATGTACATACAGTTTCCAGAAAAATGTTAACTGTTGTAATGTATAGATGTACGTAAGAGCACAGGTGCACTGCAGAATGATGGTAGCGCAATATGTGCCCAAAATGCACCTGAATTTAACATTCAGTGTACTAAGACTGCAGCTTATCACACAAAACTACTCGTCCATTAACTGCTCGTGCGAGAGGACCGGGGTTTGAAAGAGACAGCGAAATAATGGTGTTAATAAATTAATTTATTCACCACCTAAGCAAGTTTTAGTGCACAGTTTCTGTTCATTTGCAGAGTTTGACATAATGGGAAAAAATTAAATATAAAATTAAATGTAAAATATAAAATGTGCTATAACTTTTGCACATTCAAATATGTTCAGTTCAGCAAATAAACATCAATTGTGCAGTAAAAACCACAGAAGTGTTTTCTCTGGGGAGGATGTGTCCCTTTTTTCATGTAGAAAATCAACAAAAGCTTGTCGTTTGATCAGGGTTGCCCAAATTTCCTTGTAAATATGCATGTATTTTGCATTTTACAATGCACAAAGCTGATAAACTGTATGTTCAGGCTTGTGCACTAGTTTCATGCCTAACTGAAACCTGAAAGTGGCGTGAAGGCTTAGAACATCAAAAGCGTTAGTACATCCGGTCCTGGTGTTTCAGGAAGGAATTCGGTGAACAAACATCCCTTGAAGTTCTGCTTTGTGAATTAATTCCACTAATTAAGTGGGATTTAAAAAAAATCCTGAGAGAATTCCTCATTCTGGTTGAGTTTAGATGAAGAGGCGGTGGAGGTTAGTAATGAGTGATATCTAAAAATAACTAGCATGATATTTTTGTATTTAAAAATCGTGTTTATTGATAATATCAGAAGAACAGAATCAGAACTTTCTCTCCAGGATATAGCTAGCTGCTCTAAGGTAATATCTCGTCACTTTAGCTCGTTTTTTTCGTTTACAGCAGCAAGTCGAGCTGAAGTTTCAAAGCATGACGGCATTTGTTATCAATCCCATTCGCTCAAGCTAAACTTAACGTGGAGTAAAATAAGTTGATGGAGAAGCTGTGCAGAAAAGCTAGTGTTACAGCATCTCTTTCTCTCTGTCTCTCAAATAAATAAAAATAGACTGTCGATGTGCCCATGCACTTCTTAAATGTTTGCCAATATATTTAGAAGCAGTTTAAGAGTAAATTAGTCCTCTCTATTTATCTCTCAGTTCTACTCCCAAAATGACGATTGTCGCCTTTTACACATTGTCATCGGGTTACTTGTCCATCATCACATCGCTTTATCAGCCAGACCTATGATAGTTATTAGTGAGAGGGACCACTCTTTGATCTAGAGTTCTACAGTATCTCACTGTGAAATTAAATTAAACCACCCCCGTCGAAATTAGATAATTCTCCATAATTTATCGGTTATAGGTCCAGGTCTGCATAGGACAGCGCCTTGGTCCGGACTCGGACCGCGGTCCGCCTATTAGTGACCTCACGGGGAATAAAAGTGTGGAGGTGCTGTGCCCTTCACTCTGTTCTTCTCCTACATGGACTGCTGTTAGTGTGTGTGTTTGTGTGTGTGAGGGTGGACAACATGGACAGGCTGCTGACTGGCTACAGCTGCTAAGGGACCACTAATGGCCACTTGTGATATTTTAAACATCTGGTATTTTCACATGAATTGTTAGGCTGTATTGATTTAAATAAACTATAATACAGTGGGTCCACCAGACCACCGAGTAACACAAGGGTTAACAGGGTAAATAGTAGAGTCTTCAATGAAGAATGTAATGCTTTATGGTGCCAAATGCGTTGTGTATCTTTTGTTTTATGTTCTTATTTGACAAAAAAATGCCGTCTTTGCATGCAGTGTTTTGAGTTACTATTTTTACTTTTATAAAACTGCAGTATAAAGTAAGATCACAGATTCATTTAAAGGTGATACATGTTCATGTAGGGTGGGTGATTAATCAAAAAGTAATCGAAACTGGCATTCAGAACCTCCAACCGACGTAATCTTGCCCACGTCGGTTACTTAGATTTTGTAAAAATTCTGTTAATTCTTTTCCCCACTCTGTGTGTTCATGCACTGTCCCCTTAAAAACGTACTACCGCACGTGTAGTCAAGTGTCCGCCATGTCCAGTCTGCAACATGGAGGCTAAGGCTACATTCACACAGCAGGTAAAAGTGGCCCAAATCTGATTTTCTTACCAAATCTGATTTTTTTGTTTGGCTGTTTACAGTATCTTTTAAATGTGATCTGTATGCGACATCAGTCTGAACAGATCAGCTCCCAAACTGACCCACAGGCTCAAAAGAACAGAGCGTCACGCTGCTTCACGGCTCATCCAGAGGTAAACAATCCTGACTATAATCGAACGCCAGTCGCTCCTGGAGGATCAGCTTCATCTTCACCAGCATCACAGGAGCCATCATGAAGCTTCACTGACTGACAGCTGGGCTCATCACCCAGAATGTGTTCGAGCCGTAAAAAGGGCGCGGTCACTTCTTTGGTTTGTGTCCTCAGATTCTTTAAACTTTGCTTTCAGCCTTTTAACTGTTCTTTGACGCTGCAGCCTCGTCCTCCTCCAGCCGCGTTCAGCCATTTCTTTCAAAATCTCTTCAAACACGGAGGGTTTTGGATGAGTCTCTTTTATGTTTTGTACAGAAATATCACCATAAATGTTTTTTGGGTCTCAGCAGTGCGAAATTATGACAAATGTCGAGTTGGATTGACATAAAAGCCCCGTGATATCTGATCTGGCTGTTGAGACGATTTACATTAAGATATGCAGACTTCATTTACAGTACAAACCTTTTCAGTGAACAATGAGGGCAAAAAAAAACCCAAAAAAACAAAACAAAAACAAAATAATCGTTCATTAATTGTAATCAAGGTAAAACATCCAATTAATCGTGATATTGATTTGAGGTCGTATCGCCCAGCATTACGTTCATGCTTTCATCTCTAACCATTTCCAGGTGTGCCACATGTCTCCCGTGACATTTTCATCGGCTTTATGCCTTTAGACTGCAACTGTGAACGTGCTAATGATGGTCAAAGATCATTTGACATGTGTGCGGTGACCTTTTGCCATGTCCTTCTAACCCATCTGAGAAATGGCTTCCAGTAGAAAAGCGCCTTAATGGGCTCTTGGAACATCAAGCACTACCAGCAGGAAATAAATCAAAATCACCCTGACTTGATTTAAAGCCAGTGCTACATCTGTTCATGTTTGCTCAGGTGATCCCACAGATTACTGAGGATTACCTAACGGATTGATAGCAAATCTCCAGTAATGAATAACGGCATCTAAACCTTCATCATGACCGTTGACGGGTGCCAGTAACCTGCAGCCGTTTTGATTGCTCCCTAAGAAGCCGCTATCAGAAGCTCTAAGTCGAAAAAGGTAAATCCCTCTCTTTTAAAAACTCTCCTTTTTTCCTCAGGTCTGGTGGCTGGGTTTTCTATGACACCACCTGCTCTCGACAGCTCCAAAGACCAACTCGTGATTGACGCCAATGACACACTGACTATTACTTGCAGGTAGGATCAAAGTTACCACACGATGCAGAGGCCATTTCTAAGTGTGTTTGTGTTAGTATGAGGAAATACTTCTAACGTAAACATTAAGGGGTCATGTTGATTAATTGTATCATATAGTCTGAAGGTTCTTTACACATACAGAGAATGTTATGTTTGGATAGGAATAGCGGAGGAAATTTACGTACCTCCGCTATTTTCAGAAAAGGCATCGCCTGTATGTCTTTGAACATATGGGAAGAAAAAGGCAGTCCAGCTCCATTTATCCGTGATCCTTCTTCAGCTGGCCTGGCAAAGAATCCAGTGGATAAATTGTTTTTCAGCAGTAGCAAACATGCGCCTTGGGAAGGAAAATATCTATTTTGGCCACATCCCAATGTGATTAATGAGTGACATTATGCATTTTATATAGCCGTGGCTCAAGTTCAGAACATCATTGTTCTTCATAATCTTGTTAGGGAGGAGATCAATGTTATTTCTTTGGCTTTTACTATATGTAGTCCAACAATCAGTGTCTGCGCCAGGGGAGTCTGAGATAATGGAATGAGACTGCATTGTACATTATTATGAGTCATTTGAGAAGTATTACTCTAGGGTGCTGATATTTACGGAGTATTTATGCTCCATGGAGCTATAGTTCAGGTAATGTATGCATACATTGTCTTTGGAAAGACAGAACTGCGCTCAAGGGACTGCCATTAAATGTATTACACCGCAGAATTATGGAGTAAGTGTGAACATTGAACAGAATTTCAATGAGTGCTTCACAAGTGGAGGCGCAGGAGTGCCAATAGGTCAGTAGGTCATTATCGTGCATGCTTTAAAGTCTGAAGCAGATCTGTCTCATGTGGCTTCCTCTGACTAAACTTTCTGGATGTGAGTGACCTGTGCTTGACCCTTGCTGATCTCTTGACCCAGGGGACAGCGCATTCTGGACTGGGCCTGGCCTGAGCAGTCTCTCAGCAAAGTCGAGCTTAGCAAGCGAGAGGGGCAGCAGCCAACCACCCGTGCTGACGACCAGAGAACGTTGTCGGTGAGAGAGTGTCAGGGAGAGCCTGGAAAACCTTACTGCAAAACCCTTGTGCTGACCAAAAGCCACAGCGATGACACTGGCTACTACCGCTGCTTCTACCAGGACATTAAAGCCGTCATCGATGGAATCACCGCCGTCAGCATATATGTCTTTGTACGAGGTAAACTATGCTAGGTTTTCATCCATACCGACAATGTGTAGAGTCATTTTCTCATCACACTTATGTGTTCAGTTGGATTGGTTTAGGCAATGTCCACAAATATTTTTGTCCTTTCAGACCAATCACATTAGAACACATTTTGGCCCAATCCCTTTTCACCCCTTGACCCTACCACCTCTGTTTTGTGCGTTCATGTCTAGGGTTAGGGTGTCCCAATTTCTGTTGAGATACAAAGAAGATACAAAGAAACAGAGAAATGTGAGAATTTCCTCTGTTAAAAAAAATGTTAGCCATTGTATTATTTTAGTTTAATGTCGTTTCAGTGTATTTTGGTCGTTTTCTTCATAACAAGCATAAAAAATCGCTAATAGCATGCTAATGTCTCGGTAGCTAGCTAGCGAATTTTCCCGTTCCACCTTAAATAGTCCAGCAGTTCTGACGCCTGAAGCGCCAGAATGTAACTGCTGCTCCATTTAAGGTGGAACAGAAAAATTCGAACAAGAAGCTGGTGAATATCTGACTTCAGCTTTGTATCACCAAAGAATCAGAGGTGGGTGATAATAATTGTCTTAAAGCCCCTCTTTGAAGGCATATGATGCCCTAAATGTAACTAAAGCCCAGCAGTGAGGAGCTGAACTTTACCTTCCTCTGCTATCACTGCAGACTGGCAGCGTCGCCTACAGAGCAGTGCTGGTAGCTGTTAATGAAGTGATGCTCTTTTTTATTTGAGGGTCCCATTTCAGAGGGCAAGATTTCAACCACTACCCCTTATAACTCAGTTTCAAGGGGTTAGGGTGACACTCGAAAACAAGGGGTAGAGGTAAAAAGAAGAAATGGAATTGGGCCTTAATGGTTCGGAGGCCAGTTGTCTGAGCCCATTTCCGATCGAAAACACTTTTGCCAAGTGAAGTCATTTACATTCATTTCAGATGTAACCGAATGCCCATTTCTGGTCCCTTGAGAAATTTATGGCTTCGTCCTAGAACAAACAACGTCGTCAGGACATGTGGATCATAAACTCTGTTTTTATTTGTCTTACCCCCGACAAGTCAATTTGTCTGTGCTTGAATACCATCTCATCCTACGGTTTTTCTTTTCTTTGGGAGTCAGACAAGGACGCAAAAGACTTTCATTCTAAAGTCCTGCCCTTATTCGAACGATCAAAGAAGACTGCGTGATATTACAGCTTGAATTTTGTTTGCTTTGCTTTAGAGGTTGCTCCAAAAGAGACCTAATATTGAATAAACCAAAAGATAAGAATGTAATAAAGTAAAGCAAGTCGCGGCCAAATCTCCTGAAATGGCCGTAACACAGACAGTGCCATTCTTTGTTTTTGGCCTTGTGTCTTGTGAAGGAATTAAGAGCTGTTTTCTTTATTTCTAAGTTTTCCCTCATTGCACAGTGGTGATACAAGCGTGCTTTTCCTCGATTAGCTTTGGTTTTAAAGAAAATTCCCATCTACATTGTTTTGGAAGGCTTCAAAAAGTAAACATTTGAGGATAGTGTTAATATTTTATGACTGAGATTGAGTTTTTTTTTTGAGACATCCAATTGCCCCACATTTTCTGACTAAACTGGAACCGAAACTCTCCAGTATACTGTAGGCTATAGATATATATATTTAGGGCTGTGCGGTTAATTGTAAAGTAACCGAAACTGACATTCAGAATCTCTAACCAACGTATTCTTGCCCACGTCGGTTATTTTGATTTTGTAAAAATTCTGTTAATCCTTTCCTGACTCTGTGTTCTGTACTGTCCCCTTAAAAACGTACTACTGGTGTGTGGTCATGTGACTCCGCCACGTCCAGTCTGCAACATGGAAGCTAAGGCTACGTTCACACCGCAGGTAAAAGTGGCCCAAATCTGATTTTCTCACCCAATCGAATGTTTTTGTTCGGCTGTTCACAATATCTTTTAAACGTGATCTGTATGCGACATCAGTCTGAACAGATCCACATGCACAAAAGAAGAACGCGTCACGTTGCTTCACGTGTCTTTCAACAAAAGACAGTAAAAAAATAGTGGACAATGCGTAGCTTTGAAGGTCCACTGCAAATGCCTATGGTGCTAGTTTGACTCATGGTGAACCAATTCAGGCCAATATTTGTAACCAATTGATTTGTAACCAACTGATCTGAGTGTTGCCCCGAGTTCAGACGACACCATCAGAGGCCTGTCTGGTTCTGCGCTCTTGCCTGCGGTCAGTGCTTTAAGAGCGTGGGTGAAAAGGAGCTGGGGAGAGTCGTATAAAGACGTCCTGCTGGCTTGTCCACTTGTGTGAAATGCTCAGTGATTTCTCCTGACAAGGTGCCGAAACACTTTCCATAGATCTTACCAGGGGGCTGATTAGAAGCAGCTGAAATCGCAGCTATAAATTAGGAAGGAGCATGAAGCGGGTCCGGGGCGAGCCGCATGTGGCTTTGGTTAACTCCCCGTACCTCCCTGCATGATCTTTCATACCTCGCACACACACTGTCTCCATCGTTTATGCCATCGGAGCACATATTAGTGCCCATGCTTGGTCAGAAGAGCCCTCGAGAAGGCACTTCCCCTGCTAAGCCCTAATTTATTGTGAAGCACCATAGCTCGGCAGATTTGTGTATTTTTTTTCTATCACGCCTGCGTATGGGGGCCACCAGCGGGCAGAAACATAAACCTCCAGAAAGGACCTTTTGCTTGGACCCCGACAGATTGGACTGATTGCTTCGAACAGTGTGAGGAAAAAATAGTGAGCTCTAGGAATAATGGAGCCTTTTAGAGAAGCGTACACCAGGTGATATCCAAATAACAGTCCGCCAACACCGGGGCGAACCCCCCTGTGGAAAACAAAGGTTGGGGCGGTTTGTTTTAGCAGCCGGCCGCGCCTCTGACTAACACAAAGCCATACTATGAAGAGATTTTGAAAACGGTGATGTAAAATGTTGACAGAGCTGTAATAAGCCCTTCTCTTTGATATTTAATGAAAAGATGAGTCACAGGTTAATCTTCACCGGGAGTTAACAGCACTGTACAGGCACTCTGTATGTACAGCTGGGGAAAGATGAGATGGGGGCTGATGATTACTTTCTATAATTATTAAAGTCTTCTGGTTGCAGAAATAGTGACAGTGGCACATTAAGCTGTTTCAAGGGGAGACGTATTGTAGGTCTCGTCAGTCTGTAAAACTCTATATTGCTGTTTTACTAAACACTATATCCAAAAGTACTCAGATGCACCTTCTAATTAGTGCATTAATGAACTTGCACCCATTGCTGACAGTTCAGTTGCACACATGTAGTGTGCATGATCTCTTTAGAAAAGCATTACCAATAGAGAGGGATGCTCTGGTGCAGCTGCACATGAGCCTAAAGACACCATATCCAATGCAAAGTGTCATCTATAGGGTATAAAATACATTTGGGATGAGTTGAAGTGAACTAATCATCAGCACCTGAACTCACAAAAGCTCTTGTGGCTGAATGCAGCCAAACCCTCACAGCAATGTTTCAACATCTAATGTAAAGCCTTTCTAGAAATGTAGAGGCTGTTACTGCAGCAAAGAGGACGAACTAACTATTAATACCCTTGTTTTCAGAAGAAATGTTGTGTGAGTAGGGGTCTAAAAACTTTTGGCTGTGATTTTTCTTGCTGAGAGAAATATTGGTGTAGTTATCAAACACTACCAGTGTTGTTATCATGGAATTACTGCCTTATATGCATAAAGTGAGTTATTATGACTTATCGTGATTCTGTCAAGTAACATAACAGCGTTGTATTACCACTACCAATAATTGTCAACATATGTCATAATGTTTAGTGTCATGATGGCTAACTAGAACAGAAATTAGCATGTGATATAAACAAACATTATGGCATCAATCATGGCAAATACCGGTGATGGTAACATGACTCTTTTATATTACTGGACATAAACATGATAAGTCATGATAACTCTGCCATGATGTATTTATGGCCAGTGTTATATAACAGTATTCAACTGCTACTTTACTGTAACTAAACTGTTATTTTATGCATTGCAGTGATTTTATTTATATACGTTTTAATTTTTTAAAGGATGTAGAGATACAAACTCATTTGCCTGAATGTGGTACAAAGCATGGAAAATGTTATTGATATTTGTGAGCATGACCTTTTAGAACTATTTTTTTTCTGATAGACCCTAGTAACCCATTTGTCAAGAGAAACGAGATGCAGACCATCTTCATAAGATCTTCAGACACACACATTGAGGTGCCATGTCTGGTTTCTGATCCTGAGCTGAATGTCACCCTCTTCTCAGTAAGTATGGCAGCATGTTACACACCAAGCAGAGATTAGGAGTGCTGTGTTTTGTTTTGTACTTTATTGATCCTACAAGAGCGAAGAGCAGTGCCGTGTGTGGCAATGGGGGTGGTTAAAAGTCTTGCCCAGGGCTCCCGCAACCGTCTAAGCGTTGGCCCTATCATCTGGAGATTGCAAGTTCGATCCCTGGTGATGCTACAGCCATCCGTGGACGGGAGTCCAAGAGAGCACAATTAGCCTCGCTCTCTCTGGGTGGGTAGGATGGCAGCCCTACTTCTCCCCCCATCACTCAACGCGATGTTAGTCAGTGCCGGCATCTGTTAGCTGACGTAACAGATCTGGCGGTTGGCGCTTTTCTTCCGAGTGCGTTCAGCTGTCCAGTGACGTTGTGTGAGCGGCAGTTTGAAAAGAAGCGGTGGCTGGTTTCACAGGTCTTGGAGGAAGCCTGTGCTGCCTTCACCTTCCTAGCGTTGGTACTATCATGTGATTGGGGGAGTAATAACTAGTGGGTAGAATTGGAAACGACTAAATTGGGGAGAAAAATTAGGTAAAAGAGTCAATGCTAGGATTTGAACCCACAACCTTCCGGTTGCTGTTTCACTTCTCCTCCTACTAGGCTAAAGGCCACCCTGGTACGTAGGAGTTGTTGAGTTAGGATCAGATCTCTGCCTGTCTACCTGAGTCCTGTCCTGTCTTTTCAGTTACACATGAAAAGAAAAATTATATATAAAAACTTATTCAAAAGGTAACGCTTCATTTATGAGTAGATCTGTCACAGTCATGACATTTTAGCTGATGATCAATTGTTTTATAAGTAATTACAATTAACAGTTAAACTGTCTGTTTTGTTCAGTTTATGAAACTATTAAAGTCCAAGTCTAAAGCAGCTAGATTGGCTTATTAGCTGTCTTGCTTAGCTAGCTCTTTACTTTGCAGCTTGCAAGAGATGAGTGTTTACAGTTGCACAGTCAACCACACGTACAGGACTATTCATAAGGTTAACTTTAAAAAGACCTATATGGAATCAAAATTGACAAAAGCAGCCGTTATGACAACTGACACTTGTTAGAATAAGCATTCAAAAATGTTTATGTAGGTTTTGTTTTGAACGGCTTATGTAGGTGTTATGTAGCCTTAGGAATATCACTGCTCACAAACTTAAGGATAATAGGCAATATTCAGTTGTTTATAAGAGTTATTCCACACAAATCAAATCAGTCTTGCTGTTTATAATAAGGTTCTAACCAGATACTGTATACCGTATTGTTACTTCCAAGGGCTGAATGAGTGGCCAATTCAAATTTAATTAGCTATAATATACAGATCATTATGCATCCGTGTATCCATGATGCTTTTTAGGGTTAAGGTTCTCCTGCTGAAGGACACACCATATATTACTCTTTATTTCAGTGTCCTCCATCAAACCAGACAGTTAGGAAGTTTGCAGCTGCATGCTATTCTCACCCTTTGCCTCCTGAGGCCATGCAGTCAGATATGAAAAATGTAATAAAATCTATGTCATCAAAAATCTTTGTCCTGAGGCAAAGTCTGTCCCCCCATCATTCCACGGCCATCTGCCTTTTTTAGCTGAAACTTTTTTGAATCCCCACATTTACAACAATACCTGCCAATTTCTTTCAATTTGGATTTTTTATTTCTCTGGTTGTCAAGTACATTCTAAAATAGGCAGTTGCAACAGGCCTAAGCTTCATTTTAACAAGATTTCCTTTCACTAGATCATGTATGTTTACCTTTTTGTCTTTGGTTCTGTAGATACAGCAGAGCCCTTTGGTAGGTAAAGACATCACCTGGAGCAACAGGAGAGGTTGGTCTGTCCCCAGATACGTCATGGACCACATGTCCTTGTTCGTTGGCTTCTTCTGTTCCCTGACCTTGTATGGCAGAAAATACACGTCCAGCACCTTTTTGGTCATGGAAACTGGTGAGAGTCCATTTGCTCTAGAACAGGCTTCCCTTGAAGAAGATACAAAGACTGCTTCTCCATGTTCATCCAGTTAATTAGGAAGAATTATTTGTATAGCATGTCGTTATTTCACACCACTCTTTGTTTTAAAGAACATGTATTAGAATGTGAACTTTTTTGCTCTGCCTTTGGGAGCTGGCAAAGGAGTTTTCCCTTTCCTGTTTTGTGGACCCCTCAAAAACATTAATGTCATTATGTTGTTGAATGAAGTCAGCTCTAATTCTCGTTTGATCTAAACAGTAACGGATACATACTGTATGCCAAGATCAATAGCCTTATCTGTTGGAGGGGAAAAATGAAATGCCCCTCTGCTGACATGATGGCGCAAGGCTAATGGAGCATAACACTAAAAACTGGCTCACTCCAAGCACAAACATTGAATCAAACGCGTCAGATAATGACGTTTTAAAGTCTAGCTCAAGTTACGCAGTATGGGTTTGGGCTCGAACAAGCAAATTACCAGGGACCAAAATATTGTCTTAACGGTTTTTTATTCAGTTCAGTGTGATTACCAAATTGGCTTGACTTGTAGAGCGTCGCTGGCAGACAGACCATGTAATTAAAGTCATCAGTCACTGTCGGCTTTCAGAAATTAGCCATAATTAGAATATCCTTGCAAATGTAGTTATTTGGATCCATGCCTTAGGATGATCTAATGACACATAGCCCAGCGAAAAGCTAAAAGCCCACACTGAACACCTCTGTGACTCCATGGGCTAGACAAAAAATGCTGACTGTTCATGTGACGGTTGCAATGCCCCACAGGAGCAAAGATTTATGATCTCAAGCTATTTCCTGACGACTCACCCCTCGAGCTGATGCAAGGCGACGTCCTGGTCCTCAACTGCACAGCACTGGTGGAGTTTGATACAGGCGTGGAATTCAAATGGGCCTATCCAGGCCAAAAGGTAAATGAGCGACTGTTGCGAAATTCATATTATTGTGAAATCTCTTTTATAAGTATTGCAAGAAATGGAGTCATATTGACTAAAGCGTGATAAATTAGCTTCATGTGAGACAGAACCGAGAAAGTTGTTTGATTAATACGAGAAGTATTAGAGTGCATATTGATCTTTTAATAATGCACAACCAGAGGCCATATTACAATTGCATTAAGGAGTCATCATCAGTCAGTAGTGTGATGATATTTATATCCCTGTTTCTGTACTGGCCCTGTGGTTGTCAAAATGATGGCTTTAATATATCTTAAAAATATTGTTTGATTTATTTTTCTTCTGCATATGTGATTCCTCATTCTTCCTCCACCTCTTTGAAATGAAGCAGTAAAAAAGAAAAAGGGATACTGAAAATCATTTTCATCCAGGAATAAGTGTTTCATGCTTCTTAGAGAAGCACAGCATTTCTTGACCACACTGGCTAAAGAACACAGAGGACTGTCTAAATCTAACTGGCAGCTGAGGCTCTGATCACACTTGGTATTAACATCCGTCTCGAGTGATCTGATTTCCAAGTGTCTCAAATGCGTCTCCAGTGACTACTCAGATTTCATGACTGGAGGAAGGGTACTCACATACTACACACAGACACACCGATCAGGCATAACATTATGACCACCTTCTTGTTTCTACGCTCACTGTCCATTTTATCAGCTCCACTTACTATATAGGTGCACTTTGTAGTTCTACAGTTACAGACTGTAGTCCATCTGTTTCTCTGCACACTTTGTTAGCCCCCTTTTACCCTGTTCTTCAGTGGTCAGGACCCCCATGGACCCTCACAGAGCAGGTAGTATTTGGGTGGTGGATCATTCTCAGTACTGCAGTAACACTGACGTGGTGGTGGTGTGTTAGTGTGTGTTGCACTGGTCTGAGTGGATCAGACACAGCAGTTCTGCTGGAGTTTTTAAACACTGTGTCCACTCACTGACACTCCTTTCTTGTCAGTCCACCTTGTAGATGTAACAAACTTAAATATGGCTTTTTCTGGCAAATTTAGTGCGCAATTTCTGTTTTGTTTTTTTTTTTAGTTCAGCATATTGGAAAAATATTATGACATATAAAATGTGCCATAACTTTTGTGCAGGCCACATTTTATATTTTATGTGTATTCAGTGAACACACCGTAATGGTGTGTTAAAATATGCAGAAGTGTATGTTCTGTAAAGGGTGTGTACATCTTGTAATTTGACCATGGCTGCCAAAATTTTGCATACGGTTGTATATTGAAAGAGCGTCATACCTCCTACATCCTTGGTGCTCGATCGTTATATTAGGCCAACAAAATGCTCATTTATAACAGCATAGACTTATAGTGGAGGTGCATATAAGCACATTTTACTGTCAAAGTGAACGTGACAAACATGCTTTACGTTTTATTATTCCCCAAAAAATGTTATTTGAGATCATTGTTTATAAACAGATCAACTCTTGACGAAACGTGAAGTACTTAACAATTTACAAAAGCCACATGAACTGTACGGTTACCGCTGTGTTTACAGGAGAACAGGATAGTGAGCATGCAGTCTGTGCGCCATTCCATGTACCAATCCACAGAGGCCACAAGCATCCTAACCATCCGCAATGTCAATGTCAACGACACTGGTTTATACACCTGCTCTGCTAACAGCGTGGAAACGAGTTTGGAACGCATCATGTTGGTAATAGTGCATGGTAAGTCTAGAGGGTCCAAAAATTAGGGATGGACCAATGTGGAAATACAGGGCAAATAGTGATAACTGATAATTAACACCTTGCTGTGATACCGATACCAATAACTGCTAATTATTTTTCAGTAGCCAGTTATAACAACAGTAAGCAAGTAACTAAGTGAAATTATCAATATTTATCAGCTATAATTCCAGTTTCACACCTATATTAACCCTCTACTGCATATGTTATCGGAGCAATTTAAAAAAAAAATGTTAATTTCACTTTTGTTGCATAAAAATTAAATCTAAAAATATCAATAAAAATAAAAATATCAATACATTTTTTAAAATAATGTGTGCAGGGGTCAATTTGTGGTGTGTTGCCTTGAGGCAACATTGTGCGACAATGGGAAGAAATGATTTAGAGCTGTGTTCCCTGAAGTGGTGAGACCTGGCTTGTACAAATCCATTCCACTGTTGCACAGTGTTACTTCTAGGCAACAAACATATTTCTGCAAATTCTCATAACAAAAGAAGTGATACTGAATGTAAAAAAAGAGGTTTAAAAGTGCCTACTAAGAGATAAGAGCATGGCAATGAACATGCTTTTTACTGACGTACTCAAACTGTTCCCTTTATTGTTAACCCTGTCGTTGTCTTTAAATATGGATAATGTTATTGTAAAGTGAGGGAAATGGATTTGCTGCCCTGAGGCAACATTGTGCAGTAGAGGGTTAATTAAATTATCCCATTCATAAGTGAATAATACAGGCTACTGGTCAATATACTGTACACTCCTTACCATAACAGTGTAATTACATTCGACCAAGAATGACAGAATTCAGCATTATCTTGATTGTTTATTTGTATTGTTGCACTCAGTCCTTAATCATTCACATTTCAGAGAAGCCATTCATTAGTTTGGACTACAGGAATGGTTCCATGGTGGAAGCTACTGTTGGACAAAAGTCAGTCAAGTTGTCTGTTAGAGTGTCCGCATACCCCACTCCAGTCACCCACTGGTAAGCTCATGCTGTGTTTTAAAAGAAGTCATAGTATATTCGTATTGTATATAGGTAATGTCTGCTGATCTGCGTAGGGGCAAATTATTTTGTAATGTTATGACAGAAATTATTTCAGGTCGCACAGGTCCAGATATTGTAAATATGCAAAAAGAATCATGACTGTCATTAGAGTCACTACAGCTTGTGTTTCTAAAGCAACATCTCAGTGGTCCCTTCTCTGCCCTTCTCTTATGAAACGCAATGTGAGTTAATGTTGCAGCATGTGTGCAGGTATAAAAACATGACGCTGATAACGAGGCGGCCGGAGTTCAGTCGATTTAAGTCTCAAGATCACCACCTAGAGATCAGGGATGTGCGTAAAGAGGATGCAGGAGGCTACACGGTGGTTTTGAAGAACAGTGCTGCTGGCATAGAGAAGAAACTCCACTTCATTCTCATCATCAATGGTAACTCTTTCCTTTTATTGTATAGCACAGACACTATATGTGCAAAGTATCCTGACGCTCCTTCTAAATGGTTAATTCAGCCATTTGAAGATTTTTGGACATATAGTGTCTAAGCAAACTTATTATTAGTGATGTACTGTGTCTGTGTGTGCTTTTATAAGGCATTTACCGTATTTTAACTTTTTTTGCGAAGTTCCACCTCAGATCCATGAAAAGGAGGCAGCAGCACCTACCAACCCCTACAGGAGGGGTAGTCGTCAGACTCTTACCTGTACCGCCACTGGTTACCCTCCGCCGACGACCGTCTCCTGGCAGTGGAGACCGTGGAGTCCCTGCGGCCTGAATTCCACCCACAGGACAAAGTAAGTAGTAAGAATCTGTAGGATCTCAGTATCAAAAGTGCCTTTTGTTTGATACTGAGATCCTACAGATTTGGATTGGCGAATTTCCCACCAATAGAGTACCAAAAATAAGGGCCTAGCATATTAGAATTATTAGGTTTCTGGTGCACCAGCCTGTCTGTATCACAGCAATGCAGAAAACATGTAAAATGCAAACCAAACCTTCAGCATTTGGACAAAATACTTTTTAATAGAGTGAACTAATAAAAAATTAGCTGATAGATACCAAAACTACAAAGAATACTGGGTTGCTCTACTTCCTGCACTGCAATATTTATTTTTATTAACACTGTAAGTTTCTGCTTTTGCTGAATGTGACAGACAAGAACTGACAATCATATCAGTCAGTCAAATCATTATTTAGTACAACTGCTGGAGTACAAAATGTCAGTCGGACCCCAGTAAGTAGCAGACTGTAGAAGTACAGCAAGTGCCATTTACAGCAGGAGATTATTTTTACAACACTAAAGAGAGGATCTATCAGTGATTCAATTAATTCTCTCACACATTTTATAGTTATTCTAATCTCAAATCTTCTATCCCAGTTTTAAAGGCCTGTACAAACGAATATCCCTGTTTCAACCATGTTGCTTTGATACTAAGTGAAGCTTTACTTTGGAACCCTCCGTCAAAGGCTGTGTTGTCAGAGAACTGAACGCAGGTACAGCCTTGAGCATTTTGCAGATGTCTTATCTGCTGAACTTCATGATGCTTCAGTTCTGCTCCTTTTTGCAGAACACATCTGCCTGTCAAGACTGAAAGACCTGGAGGTTAAGATGTACTCAAAACAAGTCTAAGTCTCAGGATATTGCTGCACTGAAGGGATTTTCGCCCTCCACCTCAGGCCTGTGTCCATGGGAGTATTAAGTTCGTTCACAAAGCTGTCGAAATCATTCGAACATTAAATGCAAGACCTTGGCGGTTCACTTTGAGTTCAGGGCAGATAGTCTTTGTCCCTTTTGGAGCTTCGCCAGCCATCACCCACCCAGAGGGGACACTCTCCCTCCCGCATTTTTTGGAGCGCAACGTTTATTTTCTCTGTAGTGAGAGACGAGAGGCCTACACCACGTCTCCCGCATTCGCCAGAGATGCGGTAGCTGCAGACGGCTGCAGAGAATCCTGGTGGGGTGAGTTATGCATGGTACTCCACCCACCCCACTCAAAATCATGGAGCCACAAAGCCAGTGAGCCATGCACTGCAGGACTCGGCCCGTGGCCTGACCTATTTTTTTATGTAGGCCAAAGAACTTAGACTTAGAAATTAGCCTATGACTGAATGAAATTCAGATCTATGGATATCTTCTGTACATATCCTTCACAGATCTTTTTTGGTAGGAATTAATTTGTTGCACTACAAAGACTTAGGCCCAGTCCCATTTCTTCTTTTTACCCCTACCTCTGGTTTTCGAGTGAAATCGGTTGAAATCTTGCACTACGAAATGGGACCCTCAAATAAAAACGAAAAAACATTACTTCATTAACAGCTACTAGCGCTGCTCTGTAGGCGGCCCAATCCATCTTCAGTGATAGCAGAGAAGGTAAAGTTCAGCTCCTCACTGCTGGGCTTTAGTTACATTTAGGGCATCATATGCCTTCAAAGAGGGGGGGGCAATTATTTATTATCATCCACCACTAATTCTTTGGTGATACGAAGCTGATATCAGCTATTCACCAGCTTCTTGTTTGAAATTTCCCATTCCACCTTAAATGTTGCAGCAGTTACATTCTGGCGCTTCAGGCGTCAGAACTGCTGGACTATTTAAGGTGGAACAGGAAAATTAGCTAACTAGCTGTCGAGACATTAGCGAACTATTCACATTTTTTTATGTTAGTTACAAAGAAAACGACCATAATACACTGAAACAACATTGAACTGAGATAATGCAGTGGTTATTGTAATTTCTTAACAGAGGAAATTCTCACATTTGTGGGTTTCTTTGGTCGCTTGTTCAGCCATCTTGCTGGTTTTTCTTTTTTCTCATAACGCTCTGTTTGGAGCCTCTGAAAAACCTCCGTTTGGAGGGTCATGTAGCCCCAACACTTCACCCTACCCCTCTATCTCAATAAAAATCGGGACACCCTATCCCTAGATACGCAAAACAGAGGGCTAAGGGCTAAGTGGTAGGGGCGAGGGGTGAAATGGGATTGGGCCTTAGCCTCTTATGTACATTTTGTTTGAACAAATGGCCACTTAAAGTCTAGGAATCTGTCAGCAGGTCCAGACTTCCATTCCACACTCAGTAACATACCTTACATAGAAATGTCAGAGCAGTAACTAAGTAAATCACAGTAGTTACTGGATAATAAGCCTTGGGGTTATAGTAACAGAACAATTAAACTATAGTTTAAGGGGTAGTGTAATGTATTAGCCAGCTGGATCTACAGTCAGTGCAATAAAAATAACCTTTACTCGATCTTGACTTCCTTATGACTTCAGTTATAGGACTTAAGAATGGAAGCCTGGATCCGTCAGCAGGGTCATGGCCATTTAAGGGGTTAAACACTTTGCCTTGATAGTGGCACAGGCTACAATGAGTGCTGTAAAACAAAAGAATCATGCACCATTAAAAAACGTAGAAGAGGTGACTGTGGCAGCCGGCGATGAGAGACGTGTCAAGTCTGACACCGAAGCCATTGACCGTACCAGGTCTAGCGGGCCACACCTGTCAAAAACACATTCCCCAGTCCATGCAAGCAGCAACGGTTCATCCGAACAACAAGAATCATGGTGAATGGGGAAATGGTAGCATCCTTTGTGTCCCAAGTTTCACGTGGGAAAACTTTGCTTTGGCAGTTTGACAAGATGCAAATTCAAGGATATTTGTCCAATAATCTTAGGGAAGCAGGCTACTTCCTGGCAAGCATAACTGTATAAATCTATCTGACATCTGAGGTGACAGATTCTTGTCCGTTTTAGATAGCTAACATGTTGGCTAGGCAGCTAGCTAGGTATTAACTGACAAGTGAGCACACCAGTTGGGATTCAACAACACTGTTAGAGTAACAGGTTCTAGAGTATAAAGGTTCTGTTCAGGTACATTTTTCATTCATCAAGGTACAAACAATGTAAACGTACCGCTCCAACAGTGGTTTTAAGGTCTGATTGTGAGCCTTAAATAAGTTTTTCCAGTTGAAAAATTCGTATTTGTACCTTTTCATAACCGAATGTTTTAAACAGAACAGTAAAATAAAAGCCTGGAGATGAGACGGGGTGTGTGGAGTCAGTACAGCTTAGAACATATCATTTCAGTGGATTATGGTTCAGTTATGTTCCCTGACTAAAGGTACTGAGATGTACCCTTCAGGGAAAAACCCCAGTGACAGTTTACTACCTTTATTTCTGAGAGTGTATGTGACAACTACTACACAATATAAAAAATTCTTGCACATTGAAATATTCTGAACATTTTATGCTTAGTTATTAAGCCAGCTACTCAATTTGTCACACGAGTGCTGATACGACTTCATGACCTTACTATTCTAGCTGGGTAGTGAGCAAGCAAGGTAGTTCGCTAACAAAAGAAAGACAGTACGCCACGATTTTAAACCAAAGTTTGTATCCAGACAAAGCTGTTATTCACAAATTTTATGTTCATTTTGTTCAAATTTCTCAAAAAAAAAAACATATTGTACTAACAAAGTTTGCCTAGTTAGCTTATTGTTGTTATCGTAGCTAAGAGGCGAGAGCGCTCTGATTGAAAAATCCACTCCTCACCATCCCATCCTTCCTTTCTGCCGCAAACGGCCACTTGCGTAACATAGGTGTGACGCATTTCCGAATGAAGAGATTCGAAGTTGGCGTGGGCATGTTAAAAAAAGCATCGCAACGGGTCACAAATCTCTTTTTCTCAGTCAAGAATAAGATGGATGAATGCCACTGTTTTCTTTAGTATTGGCAGAAAGCAAGCCCACAAAGTAAGTCAGCATTCTTTAAATGGAGTAAGGTCCAATTCCTCTTATAAATCTTCAAGAGAAGCAGTGGAACCAGTATAGAAACAAAGTGAATGATGAATGAGACCTAAATAAGCAATATGGAATCTATATCGGTGGCACTGAAGTGCTACACACAGCACAGGCTGTAGGAACTGAAAAGGAACTAAAGTCATTAGAAGTCTGCTGTAATCATGAGCGTGACAGATTAACATCTGTCTTTGTAAATGATGGATGTGACCTAAAGAATGTTTATTAAACAAACTTTACTGTGCCTGAAAGAAGAAAGGCAAGGGAGCAAGATAGATTTAACTATTTCCTCTGCTGGGCTTTCTCCATGGCTGTGTGGTCACGCTGTGCTGCTGCAGTCACTCCCAGAGCCTGTCTTGGCTGGAGTGGAGTCTGGACACAGCTGAGCCGTGTGGGTTGGTGCGGGGTGAGCCGCAGGCGAGCTCCAGCCTCCTTCATGCATCCGCATCACGCCCACGCGCTCACAGCTGAGACCCAGGGTACCTGCTCTCTCTATGCGTCCACCTACACACACACTGAAACATTTGCACACACACGCGCGTATGCTCATGCTCGCATACACTTGCGTGCAAGCCTGGCGGGCTTTTCCACACCTATCCTGACCAACATGTCTCACCAGCTCACGAGTGTGTGCATTACCTATTTATCAGAAGTTGCCGCATTTTCGTTCCACACTCCCCGTTCTCGTTACCTTTCCTCCTTCAGGCTGTCATCTAAGGAGGATATTACTGGTATGTGCCAGCCCTGCCTTGTAAATGATTCAGACACTAAGTCTGTGTGCGGCCTTCATGCGAGTCCTTCGTTAGCCCCCATCATCCACAGGAAGGCAGAAGCGTCTGAAAACGCTTCCTCCATCCATCTGCACATCCTCCCTATCTCTCACACACACAAACACACACACTCACAATGGTCATGGCGGATGTAGGGATCATCACCAGACACCCACTTTTCCTCTCCTTGCCCTAGAAATCCACAAATCTTCTTGCTAGTGACTGCTAGGACATAAAAGCTTTATTCTTAGATTTTTAAAATAGTATAAGCATTTAATAGCATTGGAGTATTCACCCTATCCTGATTTAGTGTCATCTCAGTTACAAAGATTTTATTATCTAATATTAATGCATATATATATATATATATATATATATATATCTGTTGTTGGAAGAAAACCTTGTTTTCCACAATGATAACTTTCCAGGAGAAGTAAAAAACCTACTTTACTTTTAATGTAAGTCATTGGAACCAGACTTTTTGCCAAGTCATTTTGATCCATTTCTTCTGGTCCATTCTCACTTTCAGTTTCAAAGAAAGACAGTAGAAAATCAGGCTTCACTCTTTCTTCAGATCTTAAAAAAGTCCACCAGTGTTTTATCCATGCTTCCACTGTAAGATGACAACTCAGTCCTATGAGTCTGAAAGGATTTGTGGCTGTCAAGAAGCTGTTACTGAGAAAAGGAAATTTTGCAAATCAAACAAAGAAGCTGCTGGTGTTCTCACAATAGACTGGCCATCCAAGGGCCTAGACTTCAGCATTACTGAATATGTCTTTAATTACTTGGAGCATGAGAAGCAGAAAATGCAGCCAAAGACTAAGACTGAACTTTGACTGAAATATGTGTAAATTGCAGATTTCTTTGAAAAACTGAAAGTCTCCCAAAAAAGAATGGAAGCTGTAATAAAGGCAAAGTGCAGAAACACTACATAGAGAAAATTTAGTATTGTATTTTAGTTGTTGAGGCTTCTGTGTAATGTTTTCTGCTTTTTTCCTGACACTTAAAAATGAAACACTTGTACTTAATGGCCATTTTGACTGCAAATTAAATAAATGTAGTCTCTATTTTTGCTCAGTACTGTTTATAGTTTTTCTTTTGCCCTAATAAATTCAAGTGCATTTAGAATTATGGTTGTATGTACTCCTTATACTGATATGAGTTCTCCCCTTCACCGACTGTTTGTTTATAAGTTGAGGAGTTTTTAGGTAAAACTCCACAGCCATCATTTGATCTTTGACTGGGCATCCAATTAGCTGGTCATTCTATACATAAAATGACGTTGTCTATTATCTCTTTTTATTGTTTCTGTTCATTAAATATTAAGAGGCACTTTAGATGAGTCTGCTTCAGAAATTATTTCCAGCTAGACCAAAAAAGCTCTGATTTCATAAGGTGCTTTCAGATGTAGTTGGAAGCAGGCCAAATATGGAGGCTGTCCACACAGTATTCCAGGGACTAACTGAGTCTCAAATCTTTCAAATGTTTCCAGAGCTCGTAGAGGACAGCGAGACAAGGTTCCTCTGTGTCAGGATTGGATCGATCTGGACCTTGAACACACTGTGAACACAATCGACAGCATGGACACTTGGCTCGAGCCAGTGGATGGCAAACAAAAGGTTTGTGTTCATGATTTCATCCACTGTCTTAATATTACACAACGGTAATTGACAGAGACGGAGCGCACAAACATCTGAGTCTGAGCATTTATGTAAGTGCCCCCCTGCAAACCTGAACCCTCAGCCTTTATTTTTATATAAGTGACCCAAACATCTGAACCCTGACAAAGTTTTTCAGTCACGAGGAGTGAACGAGGGGGCAAAATGTTGCTGTTTCCACATTCGAAATATTTAAACCCTTCTTCCTCTCCACACTTCCTGGAGGGAGTGGGAATAAACATGCGTGTTCAGAGCACTCACTTCCTGTTTTCTGTCACACGTGTGAGGTCATCTCCTGTGTGTTGGGGTGAGAAAAAGAGTGATGGAAGGACGCAGAAGAGTCACGGATCATGGAGCTCATGACCATGTTTGATCCCAGCATCTGGGAAAGGGAAGAGTAAATCCTGAGTTAACATGGTTTCTGTCTTTTCCCTGCAGACGGTGGGCCGCGTGGTCATTCGAAACGCCAACGTCTCGGCTATGTACAAATGCTCAGCGGAGAACAAAGTGGGGAAAGATGAACGTCTCATTTACTTCTACGTAACCAGTGAGTCTCGCCTACGCTGTGGGAAAGCACTTGTACCTACATCAAATGTGCATCTTTACTCTCTCGATTGCAGTCATTAAAAATAAGGTCATTGATCTTGGTTCTGGAGTACCCCCTTCACTGCACACCTGATTCCACTTATCAGTTAATTATTAAGCCCTTCATTAGATGAGTACAGGAAAAAGTCTAAATTGTGCAGTGCTGAGCCCTCCAGTGCCAGGATTAGGACATGCTGATGTATAACATTATATAAGGTTATTAGAGAAAAAGCACTTTCCTTTGTATTTAGTTTACCCTTTGTAATTCCCTTAACCTAACCTGTCATAAACCAGTATAACAAGAAGAGATTAAGGTGAGTTGCAGATTTTTAGAGCACTCTAATTCAAAGCTAAATTCACTCAAATAGCTCAAAATTGCACTGACCTCTTGAACTTGTGTCTTTATACCAAAGCCAAACCTTCTTTTCTATCTGGGTCTTATCTTTCAACCCTTTTTTCCATCTAGCCATTCCAGAAGGCTTTGGGATTGAGATGGAGCCCACAGAGGAGCCTCTGGAGCAGGAGTCAGTAAGCCTGAAATGCAGTGCTGACAATTACACCTATGAAAACCTGCGCTGGTACCGACTGGACCCCCAGGCTGTGCCCCCGGAGGACTGCAAGAGCCTGCACCAGTATGCTGAGGCCCTGGGTGGAGAGCTCTACTTTCAGGCTTCCAGCAACAACTGGGTCTTGGAGCTCACCTTCGCCAGCCTGCAGCTCCAGGATGAGGGCAACTACGTGTGCGAGGTGCAGAACCGGCGCAGCGGGGAGAAGCATTGCCATCGCAAATATGTCCCCGTGAAGGGTGAGGGGCCTTTCGTGAATCTAGAGCAGTTGTTGCCATCTATGATTCTTTAGTACACGTGACGCACAAATAACATTTACATACATATATATATAATCGTAATTTGTTATAATATAATAGCATTATAATTATAATAATTATCAATATAATATCACTACAATAAATCATTTGTTAATTGTCATCATATTATTGGCCTGTGCAATACTGATATCAGGGGCCTGTGATATGTGAATCAGCCCTCCGACCATCCAGAACTCAGGTACTGATGTTGAATGATCAGTTCTGGATCACAAATGCCAAATGTATTAGATTGAGCTCCATTACTTGAGGTGCAGTTCCACTGCCGCACAGCCCAATGCTGGAAGACCTGAACCCCTTAAAATCAAGGCTTAGTAAATACTAAGGCTTATTATTCAGTAACTACAGGGACTTAAGTGCAAACATGCAAAGTTATTCTTAGGTTATAGAAGTGTGTAATAAAACTTTGGGCCCGATGGCAGGCCCTGGCCATTAAAGGGGTTAATACCTCTCTAGCCAACGCTCCACATTGGGCATGGTGACCTTAGGCTCATGTGCGGCTGCTCCAGAGCATCCTGTTCAACTGGTAATGCTTTTCCATGGAAATTATACAAGCCGTGAATGCTTGTGTCAGAACTGGGTGCACCTTAGAGTAGCTGACTTTACTAATTAGAAGGGATGTCTTGATACTTTCGGACATTTGTTTTCACTTTTGTTAATTACTTGATTAGTTGGATCAGGTGTGCAGAGTACCCCTGGTCCAGGGCTGGAAATCACTGAAGGAACACTGTGTGTATGAGCTGGACTTGAGATAATAAAGTCTAGATCTACAGTTATTACCGTTGTGAACTCATGAGCTCATGAACTAGTTGAACTTCAGCCTCAAGGCACATTTTCCTGATGAGCTCATGTCTAATACTCATAATCAGGATACTGAACCTAAATGTGTTTATCTCTCCATCTCTCATGTCTCCATCTCTATTAAAATTCATGTTCAGTCCCTGCTCTCAGTATATTATTCATGCACATAGCCAGCTCACTCTTCATATATGTCAGTATGTCAGTGATTTTGACAGCTTCCTGCTTTGCCAAGATACTTTCGATGTAAGTGGAACTTTTAATGGCCTTTTAATCCCTTGAGGCAACACATGAAGAAGAACAGCGCTAAGACATTAACTGTGCTGTGAATGCACAATCGATTTGCTGTAAACGCTGACCACAGTGCGGTGACCCTTTCTCACTGCCTATCTCCCTCCATCTCTCTGTCTGTCTGTTTGTCACTCACTCTCTCTTGCTCTCTGTCCCAATCCCTCTCTTCTCTCACCAGCCCTGGAGGCCCCAAGGTACCGGCACAACCCCACCAACCAGACAGTGAATGTCAGTGCGTCTCTGCAGATGGAGTGTGATGTGGAGGGCACGCCTTCTCCGAAGCTTTCCTGGTTTAAAGACAACCAGCCCCTCCACCAAGTATCAGGTCGGCCTCCCCTTATTTTTATGCAAAAATGAGTCTCACTGCCGGTCTATATTCATATATTGAGAATGACAACGTTTCTGCCTCAGATGGTGCTTATAGCTGCTGGTGACAGTAATTCCACTTAATACATGTTTTCTCTCTTTTCCCATTTCCTTTTTTTCCACTCTCCTTCCCTTATACTATTCAGCAGTGTTCAAATTATCACAAACTTTACCATTTTCCAGTCTAAAAATTGACTCCATTAAAGCTTTCTACACTTGAATTCTATCAGCGCTAGCAAACACGCTCGCACACTCACTCAGCAACCAAAAGACTCATATGCCATTCGCTCTAATGAAGCTCTACTTCGTATTCAAGTGGATTCTAGAGTTCCATTTGGCAGCTTGATTGGCAGATGCTGGGCAGGCCATTGGAGCAAGGCATTGGAGGCTGCGGCTTCGGAATCAAGCAGGAATGAAAGAGTGCTTTGGATGAGTGATGGCTGACAGCTCTCAGAATGAATGCGGGTCCTGGTAGATTATAAGATGAGCAGCGTTATGCAATTTTTAATACTGTGTGTTTGCGTGTTCTAACAGGAGTAAATGAAGTTCGATAAGGGAGGGAGGAGGCTGTGCTGCCGGGGGGGGCGGCTGTAATGTGTACAAAACCAGACTGTTAATTTATTATACTCCATAGTGGGATCATAGGGATTTTTAAAGACTTTCGATCCAGTGAAACTGCCCTGACCTTATGTTTCTCATTAACCTAATTGGACACATAAACACATAAACGTTCTGGCATGGTAGTCATTAAAATTGTCTAGTATTTGTAGGTGAAGGGTTAAGCTACTCCAGAGGTCCGGGAGCCCCTGCCCTGCACATTTTTGTGTTTTCCCTAGTCTAACGCACCTGATCAACTAGGTCAATAAGAAGATAATAAGATAATTAACAAGCCTTTCCTGAGCTGAAGTGGGTGTGTTAGAGCAGGAAAAACACTAAAACGTACAGGACAGTGGTACTTGAAGACCAGGTTTGAAACCACTGTGGTGCTCCGATGCTCTCCTGCTATTACACATAGTAATAGTTGGAATAGCAATGTAATTGTCAATTGTTCATATAATGTAATACAGTACTGTGCAAAAGTTACAGACACTACTTCATTTATTTATTTTCCTGGCAGAATGGCTATTAAGTACTATTATACATTTTTCAGGAAAAAAGAAGAAAACATGTATTTAACCGAAAATGACAAAGAATCCTCTATAACCAAATATATGTTTTTCAGTGTTTTCCCCCCAGTATTCAGTGTGCCTTTGCTTATATTGTAGCTTTCTTTCTTTTTGGGAGAATTGCTTTCAGTTTTTCAAAATCTTGTTAAGAAAAGGGTGCAACTATCACTCCATACCATAGCAGAAGGATGACTTTATTAAGTTAAAATCATGACTTTTTGGCCCATATTCAAGGCCTTCATTGGTCTTGGGTTCCGTTTTTTAATGAATATTTTTGTCTAAACTGTCTAAATTCAGTCTTAATGGCATTTCCTGCTTCTCATGATCCAAGTAATCCCAAACACATTCACTGATGCTGAGATCTGGGCTCTGGGGTGGTCAGTCCTTTGTTCTTAAAACACCAGCAGCTTCTTTGTTTGATTTGAAAATGTCCTTCTTTCCTTTTCTCAGTAAGGGCTACTTGACAGCTACACGTTCTTATAGACTCATAGTGCTGAGTTGTCACAATGGAAGGATGGATCTAAAGCAAGAGTGGAGCTTGATTTTCTCCTGTCTCTTAATAATAAAAGCTTTTTGTACTTTTTATCTGATGCAGTTTTGTTGGTCTACCAGGTGTGGCACTATTTTCGCTGCATCTCTAAATAATTTTTTGAGCCTCAGTTTTGGAAACTACTGCAAGCGAGTTATCATACATGTCAAACCTCAAAAATATCTCCTGAAAAGTCAATAAGTTTTACTGAATGGCCATTTTGACTAAAGGATAAATAAAGAAGGGTGGTCTCTGGCTTTTGCATGGTGCTGTCTGTCATTTTACTAGGAACCGGCAGCTTGATATCCTCAGCAGTCCAATAATGGAAGCCATCATATCTTCAGAAGTTGTTGCTGTTTCATTACGATGCTTATGTGGAGATGCTAAAAAATATGAGGTGATAACCAAATTGTCTGGACTGATGATGTACTGGACACTGAAGCATTTTGCAAATCTAGTCGTCATAGACAGCTCTGCTGGCAAGATGACTGATGCATGCAAGCGGTTGCTTGTAATCAAGTTTTTGCTTTTTGTGTTATGGCCCTTGTAAATGAGTGATGCAAAAAATCCAAGGGAGGTCATCCAGAGCTGACTGGCACTTCTCTAAATAAGCACAAAGACAAACCCCTGGGGTTAGGAATTAAAGATAGCATTGCTATCCTGCATGCAGTCATGGTGTGAACTGAAGAAGAGATAAATTAACACAGGGGTGTCCAATCTTGTCCACAAAGGGCTGGTGTGTCCGCAGGTTTTCATTCCAGCAAAGCAGGATCACACATGATCAATAGTTCAAGACCAATTGAATAAACAAGTAGAGTCTGGGGAGCTCCTGCTTGATTAGAATGAAAGCCTGCAGACACGCCGGCCCTTTTCAGATAAGACTAGACACCTCCAACAGTGGTTTCTGAGGACATCTGTTTTTTTTAAGAGCGTAAAGAATGAACTGATGCCCCCTGGTGGCAAGCCTGTGTCTTGCGCTAGTCAGACTGGCATTCCAGACCGAGGCCATAAGCCTGTTTACCATTTTTTAACAGTTAGCTGATTTATCAGTTTAAAAAGACCCTGATACTTAAATACACTGATCAGGCATAACATCATGACCACCTCCTTGTTTCTACGCTCATTGTCCATTTTATCAGCTCCACTTACTATATAGGTGCACTTTGTAGTTCTACAGTTACAGACTGTAGTCCATCTGTTTCTCTGCATACTTTGTTAGCCCCCTTTTACCCTGTTCTTCAGTGGTCTGGACCCCCATGGACCCTCACAGAGCAGGTACTATTTGGGTGGTGGACTATTCTCAGCACTGCTGTAACACTGACGTGGTGGTGGTGTGTTAGTGTGTGTGGCGCTGGTCTTAGTGGATCAGACACAGCAGTGCTGCAGGAGTTTTTAAACACTCACTGTCCACTCTATTAGACACTCCTACCTTGTCAGTCCATCTTGTAGATGTAAAGTCAGAGACGATAGCTCATCTGCTGCTGCACAGTTTGTGTTGGTCATCCTCTAGCCCTTCATCAGTGGTCACAGGACGCTGCCCACAGGACGCTGTTGGCTGGATATTTTTGGTTGGTGGACTATTCTCAGTCCAGCAGTGACACTGAGGTGTTTAAAATCTCCAGCAGCACTGCTGTGTCTGATCCACTCAGACCAGCGCAACACACACTAACACACCACCACCACATCAGTGTTACTGCAGTGCTGAGAATGACCCACCACCCAAATAGTACCTGCTCTGTGAGGGTCCATGGGGGTCCTGACCACTGAAGAACAGGGTAAAAGGGGGCTAACAAAGTATGCAGAGAAACAGATGGACTACAGTCTGTAACTGTAGAACTACAAAGTGCACCTATATAGTAAGTGGAGCTGATAAATTGGACAATGAGTGTAGAAACAAGGAGGTGGTCAGAATGTTATGCCTGATCGGTTTATGTGCCATGGCTAAAGTTATGTTTGTAATGACGTCCTGTTATATTCTGTGACTACTCAGTGAACTGGACCGAGAACCAGCTCATTAGTAGACAAGCCACTAGTCAAAGTGCCACAGCTGGCTGACTGTGGGGTTGTCTAGTGTGCAAATATGACTGACAGCTTTGTGGATGTGCGCAGGGATCCTGCTGCAGGACTCCAACCGGACGCTTAGCATCCAGCGTGTCCGTGAGGAAGACGCCGGTATTTACACATGTACCGCCTGCAACCAGAGAGGCTGCATCCACTCCTCAGCAACCGTGTCTGTTATTGGTGAGAGACTTTTGCACAGGGAGTAACGTTACACATGGTGTCCTGCTTCTGCTGGCTGTTTTCTTCTCCATTCTTTGCTGGGTTAGATTGTTGATCCAAGCAGCACAAGGTCACCTAAGGCCTCGGAATGATATATAAGCCTTTGTAAGGTTGACGTGACACTCATACCTGCTAACCACACACCCACATGCTGCCTCTTGCTTTCATGCTCTATGTTTCCTTTCAAATATTGTAATTTAAATGATAACCTATTAAGTATCCGAGATCACACTGTCACAGCTTTACACACTGTAACAGACGGCTGCCATGTTCATACGCAAAATACAAATCAACAGAAATGGATTTTTTTTTTTTGGACATTGACATTATTTACCAGCTCTTCATACTTTTTTCCTGATATTCAGTTTGCATGATCTGTACAGTCCTATGCGAAAGTTTGGGCACACCTGTTCAATTACTTGTTTTGTTGATTGTCTGAGTGATAACATGTTAACACATCCTCTACAGAGAACACACTTCTGCACATTTTTATGTACAATTACTCTTTATTCGCTGAATTTTATGTATTGGGGAAAAAAAAACAGAAAATGCGGGCTGTGCAAAGGTTATGGCACATTTTATATTTTATTTTTTTCCAGTATGTTAAACTCAGCAAATACAACCCCAATTCCAAAAAAGTTGTGACGCTGTGTAAAATGTAAATAAATGTAAATAAAAACAGAATACAATGATTTGCAAATCTCACAGACCCATATTTTATTCACAATAGAACATAGAACACATATCAGATGTTGAAATCCCTGTACGTAAGCGACAAGGCTGACGGTCAATATTGGATGCTCATGATCTTCGGGCCCTCAGTTGGCACTGCATTGAAAACAGGCTTGATTCTGTACTGGAAAAAAACTGCATGGGCTCAGGATCACTTCCTGAAATTATTGTCTGTGCAATCAACAAATGCAAGTTAAAGCTGTATCATGCAAAGAAGCCATGTCAACACGATCCAGAAACACTGCCGTCTTCTCTGGGCCAAAGCTCATTTAAAATGGACTGAGGCAAAATGGAAAACTGTTCTGTGGTCAGATGAATCAAAATTTGAAATTCTTTTTGGAAACCGCGGACGCCGTGTTCTGCGGACTCAAGAGGAGAGGAACCATCGAGCTTGTTATCAGCGCACAGTTCAAAAGCCTGCATCTCTAATGGTTTGGGGCTGCATTAGTGCCTATGGCGTGGGCAGCTTACATATCTGGAAAGGCTCTATCAATGCATCGCCCATCCAGACAGCGTCTCTTTCAGGGAAGGCCTTGCATATTTCAGCAAGACAATGCTAAACCACATACTGCATCCATCAGAACAGCATGGCTTCACAGTAGAAGAGTCCGGTGCTGAACTGGCCTCCCTGCAGTCCAGACCTTTCAGAAAACATTTGCCGCATTATGAAACGAAAAAGTGCTATGTTCTATTGTGAATAAAATATGGGTCTATGAGATTTGCAAATCATTGCATTTGGTTTTTATTTACATTTATTTACATTTTACACAGTGTGCCAACTTTTTTGGAATTGGGTTTGTAAATAGAATAAATAATAATTAATATGTAAATAAATTGTTAAATATACATTGCAAAAATGGTAAAAAAGTGCCATATTTAAGTTTGTTCCCACGTTCCCAGTTGTTTGTTTTCACTTCAACATGTAATTTGACAGACTGTATAATACATAAAACCGTGAGAGCAGGATTCAGATGTCAGAAATCATGAACTAAACTTTTGTTTCATTTTAAATATTGCAATGCATGTTATCAAGAACAGTGATGCTGGTAAATCTTCTGTAATGGTCAGTGAAGGACACTGACCTTTCAGACACTTGTAGGCCAGATGTTTGGACCCACGCTCTTGCATGTTTGGTGGAGTCTGGAACAGGGAAGGACAGTGTTTTGGAGGTTAAGAGGATGTTCTGCACTATATGTGGACACGGGTCACAGGAAACGACTTCAAAAACAATTTTACATTTTTTTTTCCTGCTCCAGGTTCTGACGACAGCACGAATGTAGAGGTAGTGATCCTCATTGGAACTGGAGTCATCGCCGTCTTCTTCTGGGTCCTCCTCATCCTCATCTTCTGCAATGTCAAGCGGGTCAGTGCGGAGTTGCATTCTAATCTATGACAAATGTTGGATTTGCTTCCCCATCACGGGTCATTTCATTACACTCCATTGCTTGTCCTTTGTTGCTGTGGACCGAACTGTGACTGCTCACAAACGCCCAAAGCCCTAACTGTAGATCAGTCCATTCTGCCTCCAGCTCCAAGCTGTTCATAACTTACAGAAATAAACTATCGATAGTCAGACCCAGGTGGTGGTACCATGCCTCAAGCGGAACAAATCAGCAGCCCAGTTCATGTTTGCCTGGACAGATTTCAGGTGAACACTGCTGTTTGAATATAGGGTCACTGTCAGCAGTTTTGCAAAAAGCTGCTGCTGTGGAACTCATCCTGCTCTTGGCTGGCTGTTTCTGTGCTACAGAGGCTGGCATCAGCCTGCGATAATGGCGTTTTGATGCTGTCCTGCAGGTGAACCCAGCTGATATCAAGACAAGCTACCTGTCCATCATCATGGACCCAGGGGAGGTGCCTCTGGAGGAGCAGTGCGAATACCTGCCCTACGACTCCAACCAGTGGGAAATCCCGCGGGACCGGCTGCGCCTTGGTACGGACAGAAAAAAGAAATGATCAATACTTCAGTACTGCTCAATACAGGCAGCTAAAATGGTATAAATGAGGGAGGTGTACAATACTGACATGGCCTGAAAACTGATTCAGATGGAAGATGGAGAGATAGACAGAAAATAGAAGATAGAACTTTTGTCTTGGGCTACCCATGGCAAAAATCATACATATAACAAAGCATAAAACAAATATAAAAGCATATACACTGTAAAAAATGGTATCTTGGCAAATGAAAACATCTTACATCTCATCCATGTATCTAATATTTCTCATTATGAGGTTGCTGTAAGAATATTATAAGATTATTCATTTCTAGGTTAGTTTTATCAAGTGAAAATGCCTTGGCAGATACAGTTGTATGCAAAGGTTTGGCTGCCCCTGGTCAAATTACATACTTCGTTAATTATCTGAGTGAAAATACATAAACATCCTCTACAGAGAACATATTTCTGCACATTATAATGCATGGTTACTGTTTATTTTCTGAGTTTAACATATTGGGCACAAATTAAAACAAGAAGTTTATGTTTTGTTTTTTTTTTCAGTATGTTAAACTTAGCCAATGCATAGAAATTGTGCATTAACATTTACAGAAAATACCAAATTGTTCCCTGGTATTTTCATTTTAATAAAACAACAAAACTGGGGGTGTTTAAACTTTTGATTATGACCGTATATTATCACTTGAAAGAAGATAAATTCTCTGCATTATTTCTTGAATCATGTAAAATAATCTGCCAATAGTATAAGATACCTTCACTTGATAAGATTAATAAAAACAAATAGAAGCTGTCTATAAAAAAGTGGAATATTTTTACAACAAAGAAATATAAATAAATAAATAAAAAAATTGTTTTATTGACTGGATTCAAGGTGTATTTGGATGCCAATCCAGAAGTCTGTTCTTAGCTGTGTACATTTTTAAGCAGTAATGCAGTTAGCATCTAACCAGAAGTGCAAAATACAGTATTATTTACATATAAAGTGCAGAAGGATGGTTTATAGTGGTAAAAAAATATAGATATGCAAGTATAAATATAATATACATATATACAGAGAGAGTGGAGAGCGTACAATAAGGTAGTATGTCCTGTGAGAGCAGCATATGTAAAAGATAAGTATGCAGAGTAAACTTGTACAGTAATTGTTGGTGCAAATATGAATAGTGCAGTAATACTAGGACATTCTGTGTACTGGACATTCATTTTAAACATAAATGCATGTGTACTATCACCATGATGTATCACTTGTGTTCTTCTTTTAAACATTTGCAGGGAAGGTGCTTGGTCATGGTGCTTTTGGGAAGGTTGTAGAGGCCTCCATTTATGGGAATGACAGGAAGAGCAGTTTAGGCACTGTGGCTGTCAAGATGCTCAAAGGTCAGATCTTAATCACATGTTTATCCCTTACAGGCGGTGATTGTAAAGATGTTGGCCTTTACTGAAAGTGTTTTTGTATTGTGTGTGTGTGTGTGTGTGCATTACAGAGGGAGCCACAGCCAGTGAACACAAAGCCCTAATGTCAGAGTTGAAAATCCTAGTTCACATTGGAAACCACCTCAATGTGGTCAACCTGCTGGGAGCTTGCACTAAACCCAATGGTTAGTACAGCTGCTGCATTAAAACTATCACATCTGTCTCACCAGCAACACATTCAGAGGCTTTGGCTTAGTCTCATTTAACTCATTAAAATATGTTCCTGGATTAGCATGTATTCCCTCTGTTGTAGCATGTGGAACTGGAGCTTTTTTGAGTAATACTGTGTTTTGGATCACTGTCTAAAAGAAGCACCAGTGCGCTGAGATAGATACACAAAGATTGAAGTTCAGATCATTTAGGACATATTGTTGATTTAGATGGCAGACGGTAGAAGATACATTAGAGTAACAAAGGCAGCTAAAGTATGAAACATATCCCTATTTGCATGTTTGCTTGTTCGAAATTTATAATAATACAGGGTGATTCAAAAAGATTCATCTGATTTTAAAATGATTTATTTCACTTGTAAATTATTACAGATCAAAGCAGTAAACTGTAAATGGTTTATGAGCATAAAGTTCATTATGTCATTTTACAAGCGCTCAATATGAACCTCCTCCAGCTGTACAGACAACATCAATGCATCATAGTCAAATTCATCCCATACTGGATTGAGCATGTCGGGTGTCGCTGCATTCACGGCTCTTTCAGTGTGATTTCAGAGATCATCCAGTGTTGTGGAACCAATGACAAACGCTCTGAGCTGTTGGAGGTTCACTGTAGACAAAAATCACATTGCACAGTGATGTCAGATTCACTCTTATTGAAGTGGAGAACTCAAAAATCTTCCGGTGACAGTCAGAAACTCTATGACCACCTCTTTTAATTGGTATGTGATTGGTTCCTAGGCGCCTCACGGCTGTAAAAATATGGTGCTTTAAAATCGGATGAATCTTTTTGAATCACCCTGTAGTTTCTGATACAAATAAAATACAAATCCACAAATGCTCAGCTTTGTTAGATCATGTTATTTACATATCAAAGTAAATGTGACAGCAGCACTGAGGAATCAGCACTGAACACTGAGGAATAACAATATTAACAGAGAAGAGTACATTAAGAGTACGGTTTTGGCTCGAGATTAAACGGACAACAAGGATCCATAATTATAGTAGTTTACTGTGTCCTACAAGAGTGTTGCTTTTGTATGTTTCTTTTTCTGCTCTCCTTATTCAACCACCTCTTATATTTTCAGGTCCACTCATGGTGGTGGTGGAGTACTGCAAATATGGAAATCTGTCCAACTACCTACGGGCTAAGAGGGAATTCTTTTTGCCATACAGGGTAAGCTGGATGTGTTGAACTGTCTCCCCTTAGCCAAGACAGTCATGACAGTGATGCATAAATGTGACATTTACAGTGTCGTCATTGCCAAACCCCAGTGGAGTCAGCCTCTCGTCATCACCTCTCCCCTATCATTTACTGTAGAAACATATGACGAATATTTTACTGTGCCATTTAGACAGAAAGGTTCCTGTGTCCTGGAGAACGTGGAATTTTTTAGACCATGCTTGGAAAACTCATTAAAAAAGGGAGCTTATATCAGCTTGGAAAAGTGTTAAAGTGCCCTGTAGGGGCTCATGGAAAGTGTTGCACTCACACCGTCCTATATTTTCCATCATTTATCTTTAAAGTGAATTAGGGATGAATGTAAAGTAGTTGCTGAGCACACAGCACTAACAGAGGGTGTTTGGACTCCTGCTAGCTGATGAAGGATTGTTATCACTTCAAGCAAGGTCAGATTTGGGCTTGGTAAATGTACTGGCACTAAACAAGGCGATTACATAATCATCCTCGAGATATAAAAAAATAAATCCGTTCATCACCCTTATAATGTCACCCAGATATGTAGCATTTAGAAGCGTGTTATTCTGTACCCGCTATCTAACAGACAGCTAATCTAATAAAACTTTCTGCAATGTTCAGTGTCAGCCAGAGAGCTAGCTAAAGAATAAAAAAATAAACTTGTTTTTACTGCAGTTTCTGGCCTAATTAGTGTGACACGCATCTCACTCGCCGTGTTATGACTGTGTGGGCAGTGCCCAATCTGTTAAGTACCATTAAGTTATTCACCTTCCAGAAGATATTTCTGAGGAGATTAGATAAAAGATATTTCACATGTATATTGAAGGGGAAATTAATATAAGTGAAAAAACAGGAGTTTCCAAAACTCAAGAAGTTTAAAAATATATTAAAAGATACAGAAAAGTGTGTGACTCAACTGTGCAAGACATGGTAGACGACCAAAACTGTCACCATCAGATAAACAGCACTTAAAGCATTCACTTTGAGACAGAGGTCCACAAGTGTTTCTGTCCATCCTTCCACTGTGAGAAGACGACTCAGCGCTGTGGGTCTGAAAGGATGTGCAGCTGTCAAGAGAATTACTGAGAAAGAGAAATAGACAGAAATGTTTTATGGATTGAGGAGTCTAAATTTTTATTTGGGATAACTTGGAATGTGAGAAGCAGCCTTGCAGATGTCTTTGTAGCAAGAAAAGAATGGAAGCTGTAATAAAGGCAGAGTGGAAACACGTAAAACTCACAAATAAGAAATTACATTTAGTTGTTGAGGCTTTTAAGTAATGTTCTGTTAATTATACATTTTTGCTTCTTTTCTTTGACTCTAAAAAACAAATAAAGTTGAAAATGTGTTTGAAATGTCTAGTTCACTTAGAATACTGTGTAACAGTTATGCTCTTAATCATAAGACATGTTTAGTAAAATGCTCCGATTGAGTTGGACCGGATGCCTGGAGGAAGCCAGTATGTGATGCCTCAGTGTTGAATCTTTCTTCTTATTCTGCAGGATCGTTCCCCTAAAACACAGAGTCAGGTGAGGAGGATGATGGAGGCTGGGCAGGTAGAGCAGAGAGGCTGCCACCCTTCGAGCCAGTCTCATCCTGCCAACATCAGCTCTCCAACCCAGCTTCGGGGCAAAACCACCAGTCCAGATAGCACCCCCTCAGTGGAGAAAAGTACGGTCATACTATTTTCTATCTGTGGTTTAGAGGTACCTAGTGATTATACACAAAATGCCTGACTGATTTACATGAACTGCTCTGATTATGCTTAGCTGCAGTCTTCCAACACAAAGGCCCAATCCCATTTCCTATTTCTACCCCTACCCCTTGTTTTCGAGAGTCACCTTGCCTCTTGGAACTGAGTTACAAAGGGTAGTGATTGAAATCTTCCCCATTACTTCATTAACAGGCTACAAGCGGTGCTCTGTAGGCCACCCTGCCAGTCTGCAGTGATAACAGAGGAGGGTAAAGTTCAGCAACCTCACATATGGGCTTTAGTTAAATGTAGGGAATCATATTTTTTCAAAGAGGGGGGCAATTGTTTATTATCACCCACCCCTAATTCTTCTTCGAGGCTGAAGTCAGCTATTCGCCAGCTTCTTGTTTAAATTTTCCTGTTCCACCTTAAATGGTTGGAACAGGAACTTTAGCTAGCTACTGAGACATCAGCAAACTACTAGTGATTTTTAAGCTTGTTATGAAGAAATGGACCATAATACATTGAAACAACATTAAACTAGGATCTTAATACTTGATATTTAAGTATTATCGTGATATTTTAATGGAGAAAATTCTCACATTTGTGGGTTTCTTTGGTCGCTTGTTCAGCCGTCTTGCTGGTTTTTCTTGTTTTCTCATATCACTCTGTTTGGAGTCTCTGAAAAATCTCCATTTGGAGGGTCATGTAGCCCTAACACTTCGCCCTACCCCTCTATCTCAACAAGAATCGGGACACCCTACCCCTAGACATGAATGCTTAAAATGGAGGGGTAAGGGCTAAGGGGTGAAATGGGATTGGGCCAAAGTCACAACACCTGGCTGTATTGGTTAACTATACTTATCCTATTCCTATTAAAGTTGTCACCACAATATTAATGAGTAATGCATTTTACTGTATATGACATTTTACTGTATATGACATTTTACTGTATATGACTTTTTACTGAAATTCCTTCTCTTCCTGTTTCTTCCTGTTAAGTGGATGACCTCTGGAAGACCCCTCTTACAATAGAAGATCTCATATGTTACAGCTTCCAGGTGGCACGAGGGATGGAGTTCCTGGCATCTCGTAAGGTGAGCCCTAGGCTGCTTTTAGAGAAAGCTGCCTTTGCTTTGGCCTTAATTCAAGAAGCTCCTAGATCTCCCAGTGACTCTGTAGCCCCTTAATTAGAGTAATAAGTTACTGACAAGTGACAGAAACTCTGCCTTGACCATTTTGGCCTGTGAAGATTAAAGCTGGGAGCTGGGAAACAATACTAGGCTCAGCCTTGAGGCTGTAAGATTGCTGATCTAAGACAGAGATGGAGTAATAAAGGAAATTTATAGCTTTATATTGCAAACACATAACTCATACAGCAAAAACTTCTGCTGTTGTTCTTTCTTGCCAGTGCATTCATCGAGACTTGGCAGCCCGGAACATTCTGCTGTCGGAGAACAACGTGGTGAAGATCTGTGATTTTGGTCTGGCTCGTGATATCTACAAGGACCCAGACTATGTCCGGAAAGGAAATGTAAGAGAAAAAAAAAACAAGACCATTTGATTCTAATAGGCCTCTTCATTGGCTTTTACCACACCAGTTTAAAAACTCCAAGCGGGGGTGCAGAACAAATCTTTAGGGCAAAAATCCCTAACAAATCAAAATGGTGCTTCAAATGGGGCAAATGGTACAGGAGAAGAGTGAAGATCATCAGCCTTTGACATGAAGTGGCATGCTGTTCCTTGTCAGATGAAAAAGGCTGTCGGCTTCAGGCTTTGAAACACTGTGTGATTGATCTCTGTGTAATGTGTGCTTGCTTTTGCAGGCCAGACTGCCACTCAAGTGGATGGCTCCTGAGAGCATTTTCGACAAAGTGTACACCAGCCAGAGTGATGTCTGGTCCTTTGGCGTGCTGCTGTGGGAGATCTTCTCACTAGGTAAACCGGGTGTTGTTTAGACTTAATGGCCTCAACCCATCAAAGTTGTGTAGAACCAAGTACAGATTTGTGTAGGAGCTACTTATTTATAAAACTGTAATGACATTGGAGCGAGCTGAGATGTGAGCAATGAATCAGCTCCAACTGCATGGTTATTTATACATCATTTGCCAATAACACCCCAATTTAAAGGTCGGCTCAGGCTTGATTATTAATGCCGGCACCCTCCTGCTTCAATCATGTATGCTTGTGCCCAGAAAATTTAGCATTGTTCCTGTCTGCAACTTCCCACAAAACCCAGTGCTGTTCTTCCCTGCATCAGTATGGTCCTTGTCTGCATTTATTCCTTTTGCACCCACACATTTAACCTTTATAATCCACTGGCATGCCCACGCCACCCCAGCAACCCAGTGGAACCAGGACTATTGTACTTCCACACACCCAGCTGCAATTTTAAGTAAATTGAAATATTGGAAAAGATTAATCATTTTTGTGCATTTTTAGGCTAAGAAAAACTACCACATGGCTTCACTCATGGACTTTTTATCTGTATTAACATTACATTATTAACTTTGCATCCAAACGTGCTCTTTATTTATTATTCTGTGCTTTTCTTTGTGCTCTTTGTACGGCCACAAACAATGCCACAAAGGACATCTCTCACACTGAGCCAGGCCGACATTACATACAGACTGACATACATGTTAACACACGTATATACATACATATTAGCAACCACCTGGGATACCATAGCACCGGCTTACAACGATCAGGCATAACATTATGACCACCTCCTTGTTTCTACACTCATTGTCCATTTTATCAGCTCCACTTACTATATAGGTGCACTTTGTAGTTCTGCAGTTACAGACTGTAGTCCATCTGTTTCTCTGATACTTTGTTAGCCCCCTTTTACCCTGTTCTTCAGTGGTCAGGACCCCCATGGACCCTCACAGAGCAGGTACTATTTGGGTGGTGGATCATTCTGAGCACTGCAGTAACAATGACGTGGTGGTGGTGTGTTAGAGTGTGTTGTGCTGGTACGAGTGGATCAGACACAGCAGTGCTGCTGGAGTTTTTACACACTTTGTCTACTCACTGTCCACTCTATTGGACACTCCTACCTTGTCAGTCCACCTTGTAGATGTAAAGTCAGAGACGATAGCTCATCTGCTGCTGCACAGTTTGTGTCGGTCATCCTCTAGTCCTTCATCAGTGGTCACAGGACGCTGCCCACAGGACGCTGTTGGCTGGATAATTTTGGTTGGTGGACTATTCTCAGTCCAGCAGTGACACTGAGGTGTTTAAAATCTCCAGCAGCACTGCTGTGTCTGATCCACTCAGACCAGCGCAACACACACCAACACACCACCAACATGTAAGTGTTACTGCAGTGCTGAGAATGATCCACCACCCAAATAGTACCTGCTCTGTGAGGGTCCATGGGGGTCCTGACCACTGAAGAACAGGGTAAAAGGGGGCTAACAAAGTATGCAGAGAAACAGATTGACTACAGTCTGTAACTGTAGAGCAAAACCTTAGCAGATAATAAAGATCAGATAATAAAGATCAGATAATAAAGATCAGATAATAAAGATCTAAGTCTAATTCTAGTTATTATTATTCAACCTGAGTTACTATTAATAAATGCAGCTTTGATAAAAAAGAACCCTTGTCCTTTTTGACCCCTCTTGAAGTGGCTAAATAATCACAAAAAACATTTTATATGTTTCCACCCCACAGGTGCCTCCCCTTACCCCGGCATTCAGATTGATGAGGACTTCTGTCAACGGCTGAAGGACGGCACCAGGATGAGAGCTCCTGACACTGCCTCCCCTGAAGTGTGAGCATGTTTGAATACATCACTCTCTCTCAACATCAGATATTTTTAGAACTTAACAGACATAACAATTTAAAACTGCACCCATTTGAAACATTATAATAAGTGTGGGTCTTTCTCCCCCTGCTGGTAGATATGGGATCATGCTGGCCTGCTGGCAGGGCGAGCCCAGGGAGAGGCCCACATTTCCTGCACTGGTAGAGATACTGGGAGACCTTCTGCAGGACAACAGTTTACCGGTGAGAAATTTGGCTTCCTTAATCTCTCGTAAAAGAGAGAATACTTCAAAAAGGGTGTATTTGTACTTATTCCTATGGCAAAGTTCCTGCCAAAACAGAGTACTGAAATTAAGTTTTCTATTTCAGTCACCATTGTACACTAGCTGTGTATGGGATTTAAATTGCTGAGTGATATTATACTGAAGTTTTGTTATTCACTGTTCTTTTGCAGGACATTCCCTTCAATGTGTCTCAGAGCTCTTCAGATGATGGCTTCTCACAGGCTTCCTCCAGACCTCCGTCAGAGGAGGAGCTGAGAATGGCCTGCAACACGATGCCGGCCAGGTAATGCACTTAGGACAGCACCGCTTCTGAGCTAAATGAGATGGGGAAACAAAATACTTATGTCTAAAAGTAGACGTCCAAATGGCTAGATATATAACCACAAAAGTGGAGTGTATGTCGAAAAGGTACACCCAGGACAACAGAATGGGAAATCTGGAGCAGCTGCACATGAGGTCACCATGCCCAAAGCCATGTCTCAGCTAGAGGGGTATTAAGCCCCCCAGCATTTACATTTATGGCATTTGGCAGACGCTTTTATCCAGAGCGACTTACAATTTGATCATTTTACACAGGTAGGCGAAGGTAGTGTTAGGAGTCTTGCCCAAGGACTCTTATTGGTATAGTGTAGAGGTGTTACCCACTACACTATACCAACCACCAGCACTGTGCAGTGGAGCAGTGTAATGGAGCTCCATTTAGTGCCTTTGGGATGAGTTCCAGAACCTTAAATCAGCACCTGACCTCACTAATGCTCTTGTGGCTGAATGCAATCATACCCTCACAGCAGTGTTCTAATATCTAGTCTACAGTCTTCTCAGAAGAGTCGAAGCTGTTACTGCAGCAGATGGGGACAAACTGCCTATTAATACCCTTGATTTCAGAAGAAATGCTGGATGAGCAGGTGTCCACAAATGTTTAGACATCATGTTCGGCCTTAAGTAGCAAAAAGAAATACTTATAATATTTAATAATAATAATTAAATTGATATATAGTTACTTTCAGAACAAAACGTTGTATCTCCAAAATAGTCACTTTTAAAGGACAAGGAAAAAATATACTTAGCTTCTAATGGACGTTAATGTAAAAATATATATTTTTGGAGTGTTTATTTTGGTCCATTCATCATGTAATATTTACACAATTTAAAGAGCAGCTGGTGCTTTCAAATTATGTAAAATAAGTTTAATAACACACGATGTAAAGCTGATTGTTTCGTTTGATAAGACGTTGGGTGGCGGGAGAGGTAGGTGAAACATGATATTATTGGCTAATATTATTTTTCCCCGCCTGCTGCTTTACAGTGATGTAATAAAATGTGAGAAAAAGTGACTCCGGTCAAAAATTACACACTGTAAAAAAAATATTTTTAACTTGGTTGATTTAAAATTTTGAGCTAATTTAACGTCTAATATTAACAGAAAAATACATTGTGTTTTAAATTTATTAAATTATTTGAAGTTAAATTAACTAAATAAAGGTGCAGAAAAACAAGGAAAAAATGTCAATTTTGATTTCAGGTTGACTTTAAAATTTTGACTTAACTGAACCACTAATGATAAGTAACAGACCAATAATTTGTCTTTTATATTTGAGGTTCATTAAAATGAGAATTTTAAGGCAGGCTACTTAGTTTCTATGTGCAGATCCTTTAAAGCAGGAATATTTAATTAAAATTCAGTAAGGTCCAGTTAGAGAAAATTTCCTCAGGCAAAATTCCGGAACATCAGAATGTCTAACTTGCATCGTGATTCAGTGCCGTATACTGTAAACTGAAGTGGCCTAGTAGGTATATCAACATCTTATACAGTCAACAACTGAATGTCAAATCAAATAAAGTACAATTCAGTCATATTTCAACAACATTTATTGTCAGTTTTCTCTTTTTAGAGAACGCCATGTGAAATAACTTCCCTCTGACTCACTTTCTTCTCTGACTGCTGTTTCTCGCCTCATCCCCCTGTGTGTGAATCACTCACTCGAGTCTCAGTGCTCATCATAATGCACAGTTCTGATTGGCTGAGCAGCGTCACGTGTGATATTTACAATACATGTGATTGGTCTGTGAGTTTCCCGGGCCACTAAAGCGGCACTGTAAAAGCTAGAAAAGCTACGCCGATTAAAACAGGACCACCCCGTCCAAATTAAATAATTCTCCTTAGTTTATTGCTTATAGGTTCAGGTCCGCATAGGAAAGCGCCTGGGTCCGGACTCGGACCGTGGTCCACCTCTTAGTGACCTCTGATTTAAAATGTAGTCTGATTCCCTAACACCACTGTATTTTCCTCAGATACTACAACTGTGTGCCTTTCTCTGGGTGTGTGATGGTGAGCCCATCAAAGTCATGTCACTCTCGAGTGAAGACGTTCGAGGAGCTTCCGATGGAGATGACCTCCCACAAGTCACATCATGTGAGACCCTTTCTTAAACCACATAAAGAAACACTTAAAGCTCGTAATGTTGCTGATGTTGCATGTCAGTACTTAGTGGGCGAGCTGAATTATGCTAATTGGCCTCCACTTGCTTTCATGTGTTATTAGCAACATCAGCATATTTAAGCGAATTATTGTTTTAGGAGAAGTTCAAAGATTTTCATGCCACAAACACATGCACACGTACACTTTGTATGTTTTAAGGGGATTCCACCAAATTTTCACAATTTTTGCACAAGTCCGCAATAATATTCAGAGCTGCTTGATGAAATGGTTGGTAGAGAAACTTACCAACTTTAATTTCTTTATGGTGGTGGTTACAGGAACCAGCCCTTTTATTTACTAGCTAAATGATCATTAAACATATGTAGTTTTTAAATGTGATGTTAATGAGGGTAAATATAGTGGTAAATCTGAAAGAATATGTTTTCTTTGGGGACTATCTTGTCTTACAACGCCGTTTATGTACCTCTCCACCATGAATGACTTTTAAAAAATACGTTTTAATCTCAGGCATCACACTGAATATATAACCATTTGATATAAGAGCTATGTGAGGGAACTTTTAGGGTGTTAAAAATCTTCAGATGTCTGGTTCCTGTCACCAACAATGTAAACAATTCTGCCTTGGTAAGTTTTTAGAATAGAGCATCACACAAATGACTGTTTAAATCATAATGATTTAAAAAATCTGTCAATTTTGCCCCTAAATGTGAGAGAGCAGTCTATAGCAGAGTCGTCTTAGTTTCCAAACACAGCTAAAGCATATTGGGCCCTTATTAGGCCTTATTACGCCTCCCCTTAGACTGCTTAGTCTTATACCCCACACTCCACACACAGTGCCTTCTTGGGCGAAGGGACCACATGGGTTTATTTATTTGACAGTGATTTAATTTGATTATCTTATCTGATTATGTTTGGCACTGACAAAAGGCAGATGCATCATGAGCTTTAGTTTTGCAACTTTACTGTAAATGTTTTTGTGCATTTATAAGCACATAAACAAAATACCCAGCTCGCACCTGACCTCTTGTCAGAAACAGATCATTTATGAAGGAGGCCAATGGAAACACAGCCCAGTTCGTGCACAGTGAAAGACATTCATACCTCATAAAGTGGCCACTGAATGTATACTGTTTACAGTGGGCCTAATGCACTCCTCTGTCCTTACAGGACAGCCAGACGGACAGTGGGATGGTATTGGCCTCTGAGGAGCTGGAGAGGCTTGAGCACAAGCACAGAGGAGCCATGCTAAAGAGGTGAGCTGTGGAGAAGATGGTTAAATTTACTGACTTCTTAAGGCAGGGGTCACCGATCAAATCTGCGAAGTGCCAGTGTGGCTACAGGTTTTTATTCCAATCAAGCAGAAGCACAACTCATATACATAATCAGTTGTTTGAAGTCCAACTGATTAAACAGGTGAAATCAGATGTGCCTCTGCTCGATTGCACTGGCCATTTGTGACCTCTGCCCTGAGGTCTGACCTTGGCTGATGAATAAGTAGCAAAATAATATTCTTAACTAAGTAGTTTACAGATAAATGACCACTAATCATGTCAAAGACTCCTTAATCCAGTTGTTATACAGGTGGCACTAGTCCTTTTACCTTAGAAGTCTCTGCTCTCACAGCAATTTGAATACGATTCTTGAGGAAATGATTCGATGCATCAGGAAATCTTACATTGTGCTGTGATACTTTGATACAAGGAACTACTGACACAGTACTGGAACACACATCGGGGGTCACGGCGTTGTAAATTTCAGCTTTACAAAATCGAACACAACTGAGTTTAACAACTGCTTCAGTCCACTGCTGTCTCATGAACCAAGCAGTTTGCCATATCAATAACAAAATCTTCGATAGCCATGTGATTTTCACTTAATGAAGTATTGAACTTACCATAAAATAGATGTACAAGTCCAGCACAACACCGACGCTGAGCTTATTATCGCTTGTGAACATGTTCAGTATTGAGGAGACTGTTCAGTTCCGTCAATCCTCAAAAGAATTTATTAATGCTGAGAACAATAACAGCCTCGTCACGTTGATTTATCAGTCAGCTCAGGCTTTAACAGGATCTGCAGTGTTTGTGAAGAAGCTGTTTTTCTTCTTTAGAGTACGTCTTTACGCATAGTGTGCTGACTTCAAAACAGTAGTAGTGGCGCAGTGGGTAGCGCTGTCGCCTCACAGCAAGAATGGCCTGGGTTCGATTCCCGGCCGGGCGACCAGGGTCCTTTCTGTGTGGAGTTTGCCTGTTCTCCCCGTTTCTGCGTCGGTTTCCTCCCACAGTCCAAAAACATGCAGTCAGGCTGATTGGACATGCTGAATTGACTCTAGGTGTGAGTGTGTATGTATGTCTGTCTGCCCTGCGATGGACTGGCGACCTGTCCAGGGTGTATCCTGCCTTCTGCCCAATGACAGCTGGGATAGGCTCCAGCACCCCACCGCGACCCAGAAGGATAAGCGGTTTAGATGATGTATGTTTGTATTCTGAATACTGCCTTTTACAAAGATAACTGGGACTAAATAGTTTTCTATATCCTGAAAACGTGTTCCAAATAATTGTATTCCGTTACATCCCAGCCCTATAAGAAAATGTGTAGAAAGCGTTTCCAATGGCAAAAAGCAACACTGTCACCTCTGCCACTGTTTTAGTGCTTATTGGAGAAATACCTGCTTTATATTATTATCATCTATGTAGTATGATTTGTCTCTTTGAATGAAAAGAGAACTTTTTTACGATTGAACACAGAAAAAAGTGGTGCAGAAATGACTGGACGGGACTGTTAGAAGGCTGTCCCTGATTGGTCCAATAGATGATCCCAAATCCCAAACTTTACCTGCCCTGGACCAGGTTAGATAGAACTAAGCCTAAAGGTAGCTGGCAGTCATGGGCCGGAAGGTCGCCAGTTTGATCCCCTGAGCTGACAGTACGTGACTTAACTTCCAACTGTTCGCCGGGCGTTGCGGATAGGGCTGCTCACCGCTCTGTGCAAGTGAGCACCACTGCCCCCTAGTGTGTATGTGGTGTTTCACTGCATGGATGGGTTAAATGCAGAGGTGAAATTTCCCCGTTGTGGGATTAATAAGGGCCACTTAATCTTAGTAACAGTGTGTTGTATTTTTGTAACCCTACTTTATTTTTTTCACCCAGTACCAAATTTATCTCTCTCTCTGTAGTTCAGCGGCCGGCACCAGCACAGAGCGCCTGATCGGTAGCCCAAGCCAAACCAGCAGCATCTGCAGCAGCAGGCACCGGCCGGCCTTCTTCAGTCAGCTCTCCGGCCAGACCTTCTACAACAACGAGTACGGCCAGCTCTCTGAGGAAGGCGTGTGTGACTTCTTCTCCACCCCGGACCTGGCCGTGACCGAGGGATCGTGCCCAGCAACCTCCAACCTGTAACAGCACCCTATCAGGCCCGATCAGATCCATCATGGTCATCAGCCCCCCTAAACCCCCAAGCCCCTAACCCTGCCTCACAAACTGAACTGATTTTCCCTCTTTTTTTACCATGTTCCATGTTCTCTCTGCTGCCACTGGGTGGCACCATTACGTCAGTTGCAAATCAAAAAAGTATTTTAACGCATTTGTTACATTTATCTTGATATGAAGTGTAAGCTTCTGTTTATTTGTACAAAAATTAACCCCGAATGGGGAAAAATAAAGCAATATATCTTCTTGTACGCTGCCTCACTCACTGAGACTGAAAAGCTAATTTCAATTAAAGTCCAATGTCACAAACTATTCAGACTTTTTTGACAAAGGTTTAAGCAACAATAACCAATCCGTTTTTATTTTTATCCGTTTTACATGTTCGACCTGAATCAAAAAGGAATGAAAAGAAGAAGAAGAAGAAGAAGTGGTTGAGAAACACCAATGACCTGACAAAATTGAGGTCAAGTTGACCAAAATACAATCTGACACAACAGAATCAGCCTGTTTTTTTTCACACAGGGTGTTTTATCTGACCAAAGTAAACAAGCAGTGGCAGACACTGGGGCAAAAGTCCACATGGCAACATACCAGGCCACCATAAATCAGTCATGGCGGAAATACATCTGTATGATTGTTTTATTGGGATATTTATTTGCTTTTTGATTCCTATTTTTAAATGTATGGCATTTGTGTTTCTGCCTGCACCTTTATGTGATCCAGTTTGGCTGTGTTAAAGGGAGGCTACTGGTTAAAACCAAAACACTGGTTGTGGTTTTCTGTGTTAAGATGCATCCATGTTGCCATGTGTACCTGCGGTAAACACTGCAACATATCGTTTGGAACGTGTAGCTCCACACGCGGAAACTTCTCCTGGTGTAACACGTTCCGCTGGAATCTTTAACGTCAGTATGAGTGATTGGAAATGATTTGTCCGGGTTACAGGTTGAGGGTTCAACCTTGACTGGCAGTAAACAAACAACACACTTTCGTACTTGTCAAACATTTTAAACAGCATGGAACGAGCAAATAAAACGGCGACCAAATCCAACCAGCGCAAGAATGCCTTTACAAAGTAAAATACATTAAAAAAAAAACCTTCATTCAAAAATGCTTTGGTAAGCAAAAACAATAATATTTTCCCTTAAACCAATGTCAAATATATGCACTTTACCAGCTTAAGACAAGTACCACCATCGACATCAAAATCTGCCAAACTTTACCCTCTTTATGGGTGATTTTACCTCCACTGACTTAATCCTGTCATCTGAAAACACTTTTAAGGCACATTAGGCCAATTTTTAAACTAAGCAGACAGTAAACTAATCAGGGTCATAATCATCTTCAGTAATGAATACAGTATGACACTTTCTTTGTGCAATTAATCAGATAATGAACCCCCTATTAACCGCTTTGTGTAATCTGGGATGCTAATCTAAGTACAGTAGTCTTTAATTGTAGGATGTGTTGCTTGTTAGACAAACTAAATCTTCAGGACACCTTCATATACTGACAAGTCGTGGCAAATGTTATCAGCGGACAAAGCCGAAATACTTATTGAGCAAGAAGGAATTACCAAGAAGTGGTGCTTTGGATGGCCTTTTGTAACATTCATACTGAAAGGAGGGAACTGCGAACTCATATACTGGGAAATTGACAAAAATGCAACTAAACAGAACAATTTTAGAAACTATGCAAAAGTTTGGCAACACAATCTCTTGATCTGAGTAACATTTTAGTTCTGACTTGTGCAAAAGACTGAGAATCTGCAGCTGGCCTATCAGATGGAATGACTAAATAAAACAATTCTTAAAGGGAAAAATTGGGCTCATAGTGTGGAACAGTGGAAAACGTGGACAGTCATCGTGGTATAAATAAGACGGGTGCTGGCAAATGTGTCGGCACTCAGGACATCTTGCCTATCTGGATTTTCTTCCAGGCCTCAGAGGCCGTGAATATACAGGAGTCAATAATGCCAGCCACTGTAAACGTCCCGCCAATAATGGCACAGATCTATGAACAAAGAGAAGAAGACAAAGATGAAAGAAAGAAATGATAAATAAATAAAGCACACTGGAGATCAATAGAAGTACAGTTGCATTAATTAAAACTCATCTCAATCTTATCAAATACGTCGAATTTCTTGCATTAAAATTCTTATTAAAGTCAAATAAAGTTCTCAAGCAAAAAGAAACTCTAGAGCTTAGAAATGTACTATTTAGAAGAGCCTAAATCACAGAAAGCCAAGTTCACTTAATGAGAGTAAACACTGAGTGCGTTTACATGCACTCAATAATGCGATCATAATCAGATTTCTGCAGTTATCTGATTATTCAAATGGTTATGTAAACACCATACTCCGATCTAGAAATCTGATTAAGAAATCCAAAAAATAGGCTGAATTTGAACTCAGTAGTCAGATTTTTTCAGCGCATGTAAACCGATTTCTTTAGGATTTCTTAGTCTGCGCATGTGCGAGATCAGACGGTGGATGTCGCGAGACGCATCCAAACACTGTTGGAGCGGCGCTGAAACCAAACACGAAATAAAAGATTTACATACATGAGCATACATCATCTTCTAGTTCATATTTTCAGGAAAAGCGGTGCGATGTTTCAAAAAAATGCGGCAGGAAATTTGAGTTTTACTTTATGTTTACATCACGTCTTCTTCTGTGAGTTTATTGGCTGGTTGCAAAGCAGAAATCTGATTACTGTCTGACTCATGTAGACCTGGAGTTTGCCATTATCTGATTACCCAAGTGCATGTGAACGCGTTGATCGGATTACTGACAAAATCTGATTTTCTGCAGTTACTGGATTATTAAGTGCATGTAAAACACACTCAGTGTCAAAGTTTTTAAATGTACTATTCAAGACCACCCAGTCTATATTATGGAAACTAAGCAGCCAAATCTGTATTGATTTGTTTTGTGATGTCACAAAATAAAAGGTAAATGCCTAAATATATCCACCTATTAGGACACACCCATTCAAGCTAAGATTATAAGGAGACTTTCTGTCCAGGCTGCTTTTAGAATGAGGTGCAATACAGATCAATCAGAACAAATGTTATTTACACATATGAGAATTAAAAGCTAAAGTATCAAAAGCAAATATTATTCACAGAACTCAGAGGTAAAAATAGAAAGCGAGAAGAATGTAGTATATTTTGTCTGACCGGTGTAGACCAGAGGTCCTCAAATCTGGACCTTGAATCTAGTTTCTGGACCTGGATTATGCAATCACTGTTACGTGTGACACCAGGCGGCCAATCAATTACATCAAAAGTTCCGTTAACTTCCAGTGATCACAGAATCCAGGCCAGAAACTGGATTAATGGTCCTGATTTTGTAGATCTCTGGTTTAGAGCTTACACTGATCAGACATAACATTCTGACCACCTCCTTGTTTCTACACTCATTGTCCATTTTATCAGCTCCACTTACTATATAGGTGCACTTTGTAGTTCTACAGTTACAGACTGTAGTCCATCTGTTTCTCTGATACTTTGTTAGCCCCCTTTTATCCTGTTCTTTAGCGGTCAGGACCCCCATGGACCCTCACAGAGCAGGTACTATTTGGGTGGTGGATCATTCTCAGCACTGCAGTAACACTGACGTGGTGGTGGTGGTGTGTTAGTGTGTGTTGTGCTGGTACGAGTGGATCAGACACAGCAGTGCTGCTGGAGTTGTTAAACACTGTGTCCACTCACTGTCCACTCTATTAGACACTCCTACCTTGTCAGTCCACCTTGTAGATGTAAAGTCAGAGACAATAGCTCATCTGCTGCTGCACAGTTTGTGCTGGTCATCCTCTAGTCCTTCATCAGTGGTCACAGGACGCTGCCTACAGGACACTGTTGGTGGACTATTCAGTCCAGCAGTGACACTGAGGTGTTTAAAAACTCCAGCAGCACTGCTGTGTCTGATCCACTCAGACCAGCGCAACACACACTAACACACCACCACCACGTCAGTGTTACTGCAGTGCTGAGAATGATCCACCACCCAAATAGTACCTGCTCTGTGAGGGTCCATGGGGGTCCTGACCGCTAAAGAACAGGATAAAAGGGGGCTAACAAAGTATCAGAGAAACAGATGGACTACAGTCTGTAACTGTAGAACTACAAAGTGCACCTATATAGTAAGTGGAGCTGATAAAATGGACAATGAGCGTAGAAACAAAGAGGTGGTCATAATGTTATGCCTGATTGGTGTATAAATGAATGAAGGAATGAATGAATGAATAGTTTATAGCACACTCAACAGCTCCACTATTAAACAGTGTGTGTGTGTGTGTGTTTGTGTGACTCACTGTAGTAATGAAACGGTAGATAGGCTGTCTCCTCTCTGTGTATTTCACTGTGATTGGACTCAGATCATAGCGAAACCAAATGGCTGGGATGATGCGTCCTGTGTGACTGTAGGCCACGTATTCCTGCCATGGAAAACAAGCGAAGCATGAAAGTTTCTCGTTTAAGCTACCGATCTGGATTCAGTCTGAGGCTTAACACATTACTGATACTGGCGGAATCAAGCTGTGATTCAGCCTTCAGGCCCCGTCAGCTTATCCGGCCGTTTCATTCCGACAACAAGCCGCTTTTGTGGCAGACAGACGCTTTTCCAGTCACGTATTCGTCGCAGAGCCACCAGCTGTCACTGGAGTGCGTGTCCTCTAGGATTCCCAGAGGCCCGTGACAAACGTTTGTCACCTCTTCATAAACTCAGCGCCGTAATTCCAAACCACTCTCAGTGAACAGGCTGTCTCTATAGTAACCACGGGCCATTTTAGGAGCCCATAACTCAACACACTTGCTGAAAATACACGCATGTTTATAGACCCACGTTTTACAGCCGTGTTATATAAGGCTTTTCAATAACATGGAGCCGAACGCCTCGACTTACCTTGTTCGCAACGGTGTACTGATAGGAAAACCTCTGCTTTCCTGACAAGTCCTCATACACTGTAGGGACAATCTTGAGGATGTAATCATGTGAGGCCAGAGCTGAGTAAAAGAGAGAGTGAGAGACAGAGAGAGAAACAGCGTAGAGTTACAATTAGGGTCGGGCAATATGTTATGTTACAACTATTGTGATAAATTACATCAAAATATGCTTCAGTAAATACAGAACAGAAAACCTCGTATCTCCAAACTGGTAACTTTACAGGAGAAGGAAAAAACCTACAGAATTTTTTCCAGGTCATTTTGGTTCATTCATCATGAAATTTACACACAATGTAAAGAGCAACAGGCATTTTTAAATAATTTTAAAAACTGAAAAACAGGTTTTTATATATCGCTGCTCTCTGAAGAAATTATATGCACACACATACACACACAAAACATCTTACATATTATATATGGCTGCCTGTTCAAAAAGTCTATTTGACGTTTAGTCAGTGTTGCTTTCAAACATTTGGTCTGGAGTCATTAGCTGTGTTACCACAATGTAAAGAGCCACAGGCATTTTCAAATCATGTCAAAGAGTGAAAAACCACAAAAATGGAGATACAAGGTTTTAATCTGACGTCAGCAATTTGGAGGACAATACTGTAATCATAGTTTTTACAGCTTTTTGTCAATTCCATCTTGTTCAAAAAATAAAATAAAATAAAATAATAAATATATATATATATATATATATATTGTGCACTGTGAAAATGTCTTCAAGGATTATGATATCTTGCCATATCACCTACCCTTAGTTACAATCCTTAACCTTTTATATGGTTTATATGGTGAACTGCTGCCATCACTGGAGAATCCAAGCTTATTCAGGCTTTTACAACTACGAGGACAAAATGTTCCCAGCTCCTCACGCAGTACTGCCACACTGGGCGTGTGGTGGGTCAATGTCAGAATGCTGACAGGACACTGTAATAAGGCCTTACTAAGGGGTCACAAAGCTATAATGAACTATAATCTTTGCTTAAAACTCCGTAAATAAAGGTAACTGCTCCTCAAGACTGACACACCTACACCTGCGCATTAACCCAACTCTGGAATATGAGGAAAATGAGCCTGGTCATAATGACTGTAAGTACTACTGAAATATATATGACAAATACATAAAAATATACGAAAGGAGAATGGGTGTTCCTGTTTGGCATTGAGTGACCACTAGATGGCTCTCAACTACACAGTTTGTACTGTAGTGTCGCGCTGCATTACTGAACTGGCAGGTGTTTCCTCCCTGCACTAAACTACACAAACTGAGTTTGAGACTGTTTATCACTGCGGCCTCGTTAGCGTTTCATAAAGGAAGACGGCGCTTTTGGAAAAGGCTCAGTCTGTCCTTGTTAGTCACTCTAGATGTAGCAATGTTTCTGACTGCTGACATTTAAAACTTCTCCTTTACTGTCACTGAGGTTTGTGGAACATAATGTGGTGAGAACTGTTGGCAAACCGTTACATCACCGAACCTCAGCCTCTTCAAGAAAACAAATATTTAAATATGTTTTTGAAGCTGTTAGATTTTATAATTCAGAAATATATTCAATTATAATATTCTAAAAGGAGATATGATCCTGTATGGATATTATGAGGATGTATGGATTGTTTGCCTATAAAGTCTGATTACAAAACAGGAAAAGCACATCACTTTCCCCACTCGCTGGATACGGTATGAGTGTCCAGGAAAATACACCACGTACCAAAGCCATCATTCTTTGTCATCATTTACGGTCAGCTGATGGAGACGTTCAGTTCAGGTCAAAAATTTGGACAGGCTTGACTGAATGAATGATTTCCAGACACTAAAAGGCATTTTTATATTGAGGCTTACGCTTAAATTCTTGAAATATATCACATCTTCATTTTTTTGATTTTCTTCGTCATCATTTAAGACCAGCAGATGCCATTTATAATAGAATTTCATGATGAATGGACCAATATAAATACTCCAAAATCATGTATAATAAAATCACTTTACATTAAATTACATTAAAAGTTTAGGAACATTTTTCCTTCTCCTGTAAAGTTACTATTTTGAGCTTTTTCACACAGCGAAGATATAACAAATATTATTTATAACATGAAACATTATTTAAATAGTATAAAAGTTTTATATGGATTCTTTTATATGGATTTCCAAAAAAAAAACATTACATTTTTCAAAAATTTATTTTAAAATGCCCTTTTCAACAAGTACTTTTCATTTATCACAATTTATTATTTTCATTAATTTTTAAAATATCATTCATAATTTACGCAAAATCTCAAAATTTGAAAAGTTTCATAAGTACCACAATGATTAGATCATCCCAATTATTATGTGTGCCTGTTAACAGTTAATTAGTATAATAAAAGTTAATTAGTATAATAAAAGTTAATTAGTATAATGCATATAATGTGCTTGAGCCAATCAGCTGTGCTGTGAGGTCAGGTGGAGCTAAGACTTGTCAGAAGGCCAATGTTTCTGACTGCAGTGATTCCATTTGTATTTTAATCGTTTATGTTTTTTTTCGATTATTCTGAAAAGTGGAAAAAGGTAAAAATAAGAAAAAACATCCTTCTGGCTTTTGGTTACTGTACATAATCCTCTCCCAGACGCCAGAACATCATACACTGGGGTAACGTACCATTGGACTCAAGTCTGTTGGCTCCGGCGAGGGCGTTGAAGGCTCCTTGGACGTGTTTGACCTGCAATACGAAGAGCACATTGGCTTCTGAATGAGGTGAACGTCTCTGACTCCACCTGTGGCCTCATAAAGGATTATGTAAGGGATGAAAGAACAACCTGAAGCTTCTCCCCGAAGGCGAGCTTATGGATGATGTGGGTCATGTCGGGGTTCTGTGGCTGCGCTGTGGCGCTGTGTGTGGACACATGGAAGTTTCCAGGGACCTGCCAAAAAAAACAAAAACAAATACACAAGCCACCCTCAGATAACCTGATACTTATTTAACAAACCCTTCCTTTCATGTTCTGAATAGGTCAGCACTCTTTGTAAATGTTTAACTTGATTTTAAAAGTTCAACGTGCAGTTTGAGGCGTTCTTTCTTTTCTTTTTTAAGATGGTGTGACGTCCAGGAAAATTGACAAAACAATGACTCTTTGAGGGGCTGATTAAGATGCTCCATTTTCGCAATGAACCACTGTCAGTGAGACGGTCTATTCAGAATAATGAAATTTGGGACGGGCTGTGACTGGCAAAAGGGCTTTCTTCCCCCCAATTAGAGCTGAATCCAATCTTTAGTTATTTGCCGAATGCAGAATTTGAGAGATTGTTTCCAATTTGAAGGGTCATTACTACGCTGCCCCACGATGACGCCATTTCCTTCTATTTCATCAAAACCATTACTTCTTCATGCGTCATGTCCAATACTGTGGTCTCCGTGAACTCAGCTTAACACAGAGGGGGTGGACAGTGTTCTGTGACTGTACAAGGTCACTTTCTTACTTTATTAATAGTGAATTCGCCCTCGAAGCGGCAGCCGTAACCGTTGTTGAGCGGCACCTTCATAGAGTTGTCTATGTGGCCCACTTCATGTCGGCCCATCTCGTCTTGGATGTCCAAACCCACCACTAGGAGAGGGAGGGGTAAAGGGAGAGGGAGGGGGAGAAGAGACAGACGGACAGACAGAAAGACAGACAGACAGAGAGACAGAGAGAGAGAGAGAGAGACAGAGAGAGAGAGACAGGAAAGATACAGACAGAGAGACAGAGAGAGAGAGAGAGAGGCAGACAGAGAGAGAGACAGACAGAAAGAGAGCGAGACAGACAGAGAGAGAGAAAGACAGACAGAGAGAGAGAAAGACAGAAAGAGAGAGACAGACAGACAGAGAGAGACAGACAGACAGAGAGAGAGAAAGACAGACAGAGAGAGAGAGAGACAGACAGACAGAGAGAGAGACAGACAGACAGAGAGAGAGACAGACAGACAGAGAGAGAGAAAGACAGACAGAGAGAGAGAAAGACAGACAGAGAGAGAGAAAGACAGACAGACAGAGAGCGAGAGAGAGAGAACGAGACAGAGAGAGAAAGCAAGACAGAGCGAGAGACACATACACAGAGAAAAAGAGAGAGAGAGAGAGAGAGAGAGAGAGAGAGAGAGAGAGAGAGAGAGAGAGAGACCACTGCTTAGTTACAACTGACAAACAAATCTATAAGCCATCATCACACAACAAGCAAAAAAAAAATAATCTATATATATATATATATCAAAACCTCAAAACTATTTTTCCTCTTTTGAAAAAGCCACATATTCTTCACTCTGTGCGAACATTTCCATGGACCAATAGAAAAAGGTGCAAAATGACCTGGAATAAAATCTCGTTAACATTAACACACACCTGTAAATCTACCAACAACATATGAGATTAAGACAACAGAAACACATAGGCAGGGTGAATTTCACGTTTGTTTCCATAGTAACTGCTACCACTTCAGAACCCAAACCCGGTCAGACCACTGTGGGGAGAAAACCCAACATCTTCACCTACAGGAGCAAAACCAGCACCCTCACGCAGAGCGGTCAGTCAGTCCGGCTATAAATGAGTCAAGCCTGGTCAAGGTCAGAATGCTGACAGGACACTATAATAAGACTTTGCTAAAGGGGTCACAGGGCTATGATGGAGCAACTTGACCTTTTGCTCTGGTGAGGGCAGGTTTTAACGCAACATTTCTGCTACTGAGTGGAAGAATGACTGAAGACCTTTCTTAGTCCTCTGTAAAAGCCTTTCCATGGAATGGAGCTGTTTCCATTGCATCAACGCCACTCCTAACGGAAAGAACACTCGCTATGCGTAAAAAGCAAAACGGAATTGATGTTAAAATCACCGAACATAACGGCATAACTTTACGCCTCATCCATCCTCACTTTGATTTTTTCACCTACGTTTGTTGGTCAGATAAACCGGCACAGTGGAAACCAACCACTTTCGGCTGTGTTTATGTTCGGTCAGATGTGCGCCCAGAATCCCAAATCTTAATCCAAAGCATTAATGGGAAGTGCGCAGAGGAAAAAGGCTCTTCACTGCACTTTTTCCATTCAAGCACAAACCAAGTGGTGAAGCCTAATTAGTAAAGGTCACCACAACCGGTGTACGTCACGACGAACAGCAGAATACGAGCTCCGAGGTCCTTCATTAAAAAGCTGTTAACGGAAAACAGTGAGGGAATAAAGACCACATTTAATCTGTAATCATGAAATACATGATGATAAAATAGAGACAAAAACTTTAGGAAGAAGGATCATGACTGTCAATTAAATTAAAAAAAAAAAACAGCAGACACTGTAAAGTGGGATTAACAAATCGCTGCTGTCGGAAGAAAATCTCGTATCTCCATTTTTGTCGTTTTCCAGTTTTTGACAATTTAAAAATACCTGTTACTCTTTACATTGTGTGTAAATTTCATGAAGAATGGACAAAAAGAAACGACGCGAAATGACTTGGAAAAAAAGTCTGGTTCCACTGACTTACATTAAAAGTACAGTAGGTTTTTTCTTTCTCCTGTAAAGTTAAGTTTTGGAGATATGAGGTTTTCCTCCGACACAAATGTTTGAGCCATTATTTATGCTGTTGTTGTTGACATGGGCCAGAACATGCCGTAAAATGACAAATGTCAATTTTTCCTGTAAACAATGTACATTTTATCTGTACAATTAATAGTGTACAGCTGTGCGATGAAACCGTTCTTTAACCCCTGTGTGGTGTTGGGGGGTCTGTGGGACCCATTTTCAGTGTTTACCAAAAGAAAAAATGACCTGATTTATTATTAATTCAACCTCAGATTCTCGGCCTTTGCTCATTTTCTGTGAAGAACATATAAAATAACCCATTTTTAGTATCTTCACTCTGTTCACCCCCCACACATTTATATTACACGTGGTTTTGGCTGAACCCACGGAGAGTAAAAGTGTGGAGGTGCTGTGTCCTTCACTCTGTTCTCCTCCTACATGGCCTGTGTATGTGTGTGTGTGTGTGTGTGTGTGTGAGGGTGAACAACATGGACAGGCTGCTGACTGGCTACAGCTGCTAAAGGAGAACCCTACACTGGACACTTGTGATATTTTAAACATCTGGTATTTTTACATAAATTATGACTGTATTGATTTAAAAACCAATAATGTGGTGGGTCCACCAGACCACTGAGTAACAAACACATGAACACCACATAAGGGTTAGGGCCGTCAACGTTACAGCATGAAATGACAAAGACAACTGAAATACTTCCTACTGAAAATTTTAAAATGTCATCAAGATTTTTCACTAGTGTCATCAAGACTGACGTTTGCTAATGGCGGCATGCTTCAACAAACTTTTTTTAGGATGCTATTACAGTATATGAGGTCATTGTTGCGCAGCGCATTGTGCGCTTTGTGATTATGACTCACTGAAAAGGCTAGAAAGGCAGAAGTTACACATTCAAATCTTAAAAAAAAAGAAGAAAAAAGGAGTATGTACCGTATTTGGTACAAGCACTTTCTCCACTTTCAGAATCCTGTCCAAATCTGTACGGACTTGTCCCAAGTCATAGTTTTTGTACTGTGTAATGTGTAAGAAATAGGCAGTTACTCTCTGCTCTGGCAGGAGGCAGAGGACCTGGCCTTCGGGGACAGCAGGGAGCAGGAACCTTTTCTGGATTTTTGGCTTTTGAAACAGAATCAGGATCCAGAGTATTTCATTCACTATTTAGTAGAGTTTTGCCATCTAAAGTATGATCCTACACAGTCTAGCAGGAGTACAAGCTCAGTGTGAGATGATCCACGATCGGTACACAGAGATTTCAGCTCCTGAAGACAGTCTATCTGCTGTTCCAGGGTAATAAGGCCACATTTCAAAGCTACACTAATACAGTATATACACTTTATTATGGGTATATCATGCATACTGTGTACCTAGAACACTGAACAACTTCATGCATCCTAAAGAAGACAGAATTAGGTTCAGATTAAATGTCTGTATAGAAATAAGTAACTGACTGGATGCCAGCGCATTATTTATTTATTTATTTTACTATTTTTTCTCCTATTCTTTCTTAAAAGGCCCATATCCTATATTTTTCTTGCATTTTATTTTTCCACTTTTGACATCTGAGCGAGTTTATGTACCAAAACCATTTATATTTTTAAATAATAAATTTTCCAACTTATCTGTACATTACATTTACATATGCTTTTACTGTTACTGTGCCTCTAAAGTCTGCTTTACACTGTACAATCACAGCGGCCTTATAGGTTTAATGCATTGCACATTACACAAGATGCTGCAAATAAAATCCTGGCCAACCCTCAGTGTCAGACTGTGTGAATTCACTTCTGCTGCATGTCAGATTATACGATAAAGATTTTCCGGTGACGGATTTACAACAGAAAAAAAAACTGATTTTTGTGTGCGTCAGCATTATTGTGACGATTATCGCACAGAGCAAACCTGTCTAAAGACATAAATATATATGATGATCTATTCTGATTGACTGCTCTGTACTGTGCTTCATTCACAGTGGGATGGTATAGTGTAGTGGGTAACAACTCTGCCTTCTGCACTGTAGACTGGGGCTCAATCACCACCACCCTGCACTATACCAGTAAGAGTCCTTGGGCAAGACTCCTAACACTACCTTCACCTACCTGTGTAAAATGATCAAACTGTAAGTCACTCTGGATAAGAGCGTCTGCCAAATGCCAGAAATGTAAATATAAATGTATTCAAAAAGCAGTCTGAACTGAAACACTCCTTATAACTTCAGCTGTAATGGGCGGGGCTAAACTGCTATAGGCTGAAAAGGCAGATATATCGCTGCTGTCGGAAGAAAACCTCATAATGTCTATTTCTGTCGTTTTTCACTTTTTGACATAATTTGGAAATGTCTGTTGCTCTTTACATTGTGTGTAAATTTCATGAGGAATGGACTAAAAGTAACGACCCAAAATGACTTGGAAAAAATTCTGGTTCCATTGACTTACATTAAAGGTAAAGTAGGTTTTTTCCTTCTCCTGTAAAGTTACCATTTTGGAGATACAAGGTTTTCTTCTGACATCAGATGTAAATGTATTTGTTTTTCATGACATCACAAAAAACAGTGTTTCTGCACCTCTGTTTCCAATTATGGACTATAAAGACTGGGTAGTGAATGGTGTTTTGATACTGTAACAGTGTTTACATACTAATTTAAACTCATGTTAAGTGAGGAAAATTAGTTTTTTTCATAATACGGGCACAATATTTACATTTGAATGTTGAATTAAAAAGGTCTTCATGCTGCAAACCTCAGAAACATGAAAAAATTGCATACTTTCATGGTACGTACTGAGTATCAAAACAAATTAGTGTCATTCCAAAAGAAATTTCAATACTTAAGCAGTCGGTCTCTTCAGCATCAGCGAGCTGATAAGCACGCTTGTTCTAAGTATCTGACCAGTGACTGTCTGAATTACTTTTCGTATACGTTATTAACATCAGTACTTCTTGATTAATCTGTGATCCAAGATGTTCAATAAATACCCACTTCCAGCGCCTCATACTTTGTAATTTAAGCCACACCCACAACCCCAAAAACTTAGGTTTTACTTTAAAAGAGGGTATTGAAAAAAAAATAATTTAGGATTTGGAATAAAAGTAAAGGTATCAGTATTAATAGTGAAAAAATGTAATGAAACCCAAAACTAATCTTGATACATACTGTAAATCATGAAAATAAAAAGTATTTTGATGTTACATTTTTGCTATATTGACCACCCCTTTTTCTATGTAAGTCAATGACTAGTAAACAACAGTATAGAGTGACTGGTAAACAGTACAGACAGCAGTTGATGACATGGCGTTTCACAACCTTACTGTTAAAAACAAGCAAGCGCTTGCTGAAGCGGTGCTGTTACCGACAACGTTTCCATAAAGAAGTGTGAAAAGCCCTCACCCTGAGGGAAACGCTCAGGCGTGAACAACATTACCATCGAGAAAATTCACATAAAATGCTGGTAAATTAAACCACTCGTGCTTTGGGGCAGGAAACTTTGGTCTAGTTAACTGTGCACAACACATCTCGGTCTTGATCCATCCAAAAAAAGAAGCAGTAATACTCAAAACTGATGAAAAAGCTGCTGGTATTGTAAAAGAGATTTTTAACAAGGACTCTCTCACACAGTCATGGAAAACCAAGGCAAAAGAAGGAGAGTATTGTATTTTATATATATACTCACAATCACAGTGTAAGTTTGGCAAACTGATGTTTAAACTCACTTCAATCTTCCCTCCACTGTCCTTATCTGGATCATCCACATAGAGCTCATTAACTCTGCAAACAAGGACAAATGTCATCCATTGGATACATAAGTATACACCTCTTATATTTATATTTTAAAGATTTTAGTTGCTTTATTGTTTCAGAACATAATATAATAGACAGGCTTAAGACAGCATGATGACATTAAAGGCACTATTAAAGATACTTTGCTGTATAAACGTTTAATCATCAGTGACAAAAGCAGCTGATTCAAAAATAAAGTTTATGAGACAGAATTGCTAAATGGCAGATGAGCATGAGATACTTCTGACACACGAGGCCACCTCAGTATCCTGTGTGAAACTCGGCTCGACTTGTGACAGAGGTTAAAATGCCCGGGTGGCAGCCACGTCACAAAATCCATGCATTTTGCAACACACACTACTACATTCTGCATCCTCACAATTCCTTTAGAAACACAGAAAACTCAAAGTTCTTCTTCACTATGTCTATTTTTGCAATACAGTCTGCACTGCTGTGCAATATGTAAATGTAAATGCTCTTCGGGACTGTTTATGAGGCCGTTGCTATCGTGACCTGGATGAGTCATAACTAACAGTTACATCTTGTCCCCATACACTTTTACCCGTCACATGAAGTAAGCTTGGACAAAATGGCAGCAATACGTACATTTCTGTGTCTATGAATCCCGTCAGCTCGGAGAGGAAGAGGAAGAGCATGAAAACACAGCAGCAGATCGAGACTGCAGGGAAAAGGACAGCAAAAGATCAGGAACACACTTTAGCAACAAGGGAATCCAATGGAATAGCACTCAAGTCGAGTCACTTTATTTGCCATTATGGACAGAGACTGTTATGTTCACAATCACAATATACACATAACTAAATATTGAAGCTGGACTGTAACTACTGATTGTTTGGTAACCAATTAATCTACCATTATTTAATTTAATTCAAAAGCCAAACAATAATAAATGGGTTTAAAAACATGCAGAGTCTTTCAAAACAGGTGAGAAATGGGGTGAAATGCCCCCCTTAACCCCCAAGTGCACGATGTTGCCTCAGGGCAACAAACTCATTTTCCTCACTTTACAGTAACGTCATACATATTTAAAGACAACGAAAGGGTTAACAATAAAGGAAAGAGTTTGAGTTAGTCAATAAAAACGTGTTTAGTCATACTATCTCTTCGTCGGCACATTTAAACCTCTTTTTTTAATGTTCAGTGTCATTTTTTTTGTTATGAGAATTTGCAGAAATATGTCTGTTGCCTAGAAGCAACAATGTTCGACAGTGGAATGGATTTGACCAGTCACTAGCCAGGTCTCACCACTTCAGGGCACACAACTCTGTATCATTTCTTTTCATTGTCGCACAATGTTGCCTAAAAATACATTTATTTGTTTTTTTTATGTTTTCGGAACCGAAAAAATAAATCAAGAATCATTTTATTCGAGAAAAGTGAATTGAATACTTTTTTTTAACTGCTTTCATAATGTGTGCAGTAGAGGGTTAAGAACAATGTCCATTTACTGAAGAGCTAAACCATTTATGTGCAGGAGTGTATCACACGCAGCATGATGTAGAAACCTACACACAGTTAGAGAAATAAACAGGGGCAGCAGTTTGGTTTTTATAGCACAAAAAAGGGGCCGCAGACTCTTACCTTACAAATTTATAACTGATCATTTAAACAGTTTTGTAATCATACAATTTCTAGTCTTTGCATTTTTAAAAGCTGTTATTACTGAAAAACATGAAAAATATTGTTAAATTTTTTATATTTTAAAATAAAATTGAGACCCCAATCAATGTGTCTTATCGATCCCACTTCATTTTAATAAAGTTTTTTTTTTATTATTTAAATAGCTATAACACATTGTGCATGTTTTCCACATTAAACATTTTATTAGTGAGTGAAAATGATTATTAGACGTGGCAGAACAGATGTGGATGTAACTCTGAGCTGTAAAGCTCAGAGACTCGTCTCCATCTAGACGGCTAAAAATGTTGTGCAATTTTTGCAAATGATCACTACAGGTGGCAGATAATGCTAAGGCTAGCTAGTCAGTGAAACTTCAGTGAACAACTTTGTGCCTTTATAATGAAATACTACAATGACATACACAGATCAGGCATAACATTATGACCACCTTGGCTCCTTGTTTCTACGCTCACTGTCCATTTGATCAGCTCCACTTACTATATAGGTGCACTTTGTAGTTCTACAGTTACAGACTGTAGTCCATCTGTTTCTCTGATACTTTGTTAGCCCCCTTTTACCCTGTTCTTCAGTGGTCAGGATCCCCATGGACCCTCATTGAGCAGGTAGTATTTGGGTGGTGGATCATTCTCAGCACTGCAGTAACACTGACGTGGTGGTGGTGTGTTAGTGTGTGTTGTGCTGGTCTGAGTGGATCAGACACAGCAGTGCTGCTGGAGTTTTTAAACACTGTGTCCACTCACTGTCCACTCTATTAGACACTCCTACCTTGTCAGTCTACCTTGTAGATGTAAAGTCAGAGACGATAGCTCATCTGCTGCTGCACAGTTTGTGTTGGTCATCCTCTAGTCCTTCATCAGTGGTCACAGGATGCTGCCCACAGGACGCTGTTGGCTGGATGTTTGGTTGGTGGACTATTCTCAGTCCAGCAGTGACACTGAGGTGTTTAAAAACTCCAGCAGCACTGCTGTGTCTGATCCACTCAGACCAGCACAACACACACTAACACACCACTACCACATCAGTGTTACTGCAGTGCTGAGAATGATCCACCACCCAAATACTACCTGCTCAATGAGGGTCCATGGGGATCCTGACCACTGAAGAACAGGGTAAAAGGGGGCTAACAAAGTATCAGAGAAACAGATGGACTACAGTCTGTAACTGTAGAACTACAAAGTGCACCTATATAGTAAGTGGAGCTGATAAAATGGACAATGAGCGTAGAAACAAGGAGGTGCTCATAATGTTATGCCTGATCGGTATATACAGTATACAAATATGAACTAATATTTCTGTGGACATATTGTAAAGGGGGGAGTTTTGCTCTGTGGCTGAGGAGACTTCTCAACCGAAATGTTTAACTTTCCAGTTTCACTTTGAAAGAAAAAAAAAACCTTTTTTTCATCTCAAAACCAAATACACTGCTCTCTCCACAAACCCCACGTTTATGCAATTTTAACGTTTCTCAGGCTTAATATAAAAGCACAGATCACTATTTTCCAGTGACAAAGAATTAGATCAACTGCCCCCACAAAGTTTTTGGGGAGAGAAATCCCAGAAACGCTGTCATCTCAATTAGCCTTCCAGTAAATGTGTCAAGATCAAGACTTGCTTTATCATTTGATCTAGAGAAAATAAGCTGGGGGCACATTACTATTTGGGCTCCTTCCCCCACCTTACCCAACTTAATACTAGGAAAAATAAACCTCTGAAAAGTCTAAAAAATATGATTCACTATGTGGCAAAAATAACTGGATGGGTCCATCAGGCTCTGATTCTTACGTAACAGAAGAGAGAAGTTAAGAGAAGTAGGAGGATTTAAAAAACGTATCGCTGCGCAAACTGCCAACTAATGACTTCTGATTCATAAAGAGAGAAAACGTTTATTTAGTAATGAAGCTCAATCACGTAATCATGACACCTATGAGATGGTTCTAACTTTACATCACTTCCTCCTGGATTAATCAGAATATTTCTGAAAGATGTTCGAGCTCTAAGCTTCTTTATTGTATCTGGTCATAAAATCTCGTTGGCTGTGTCATTCTCTCTTCATCCGGGGTCAACCAGAAGAGGATGCGTTCGTCCCTTGAGCCTGGGTTCCTCTCGAGGTCTCTTCCTCTTATTCTAAGGGAGTTTCTCCTCGCCACTGTTGCCTCTGACTTGCTTATGGAGGGCTCGGACCCAGATTCAGTTCCTTACGTCTATACATGGACATCGCCTTTTATATTTTCTTTTATCTTCTTTTTTATTCTTTTGATCCTTCCATAAACTGCTTTTCTGTAAAGCTGCTTTGAGACAACACTAGTTGTAAAAAGCGCTACACAAATACTGTTGTTGTTGAAATTCCTATATTCAAGATAACACTAAACTAAGCTCAGTTCAGAAGTGCTTTGTGTATTCAAAAGCACAGTAACACCAGTTTACCAGAATAAGGCAAACCAGGGACACACAATAGTCCCTCTTTATATTAAGTGTCTCTAATAACTGTGTAGTTACATATGAAGAACATATGCAACATTAATGTAACTACTAATGATTTAGTCACTGTTACAGATGGATTACAGCCTTATGTAATTACACATCTGTATCAACTTCAGTTTTGCCTAATATAATTACTCAAGTCTATCTTAATAGTATAATAGCCTATTCTCTCTCAAGTAGTTACACAAGGGTAATAACAAATGTAATTACATTCGTAATCAGACTGGACCAGCAGTTGTTTTCAGAAGTCTTTTCCAGCAGTAAAAGGAAGTTTGTAATAACTTACATTAAGGCATTACTTACACTGTATCTGCCAGCTTTCCTAACATTTAGCCAGCCTTTATATTGCTAGTGCTGTGACACTGTGACCAGTTTCAGCTTTAAACCACTCTGTAATGTGACAGAACAGCAGACGTCCCCTTATCTTATCATATAACTGTTATGACATTAAATCCAAAGCAATTTCTATATTACCACCCCATTATTACACAGTACCTACATAACAACTACACAGGAACTGTCCACTTATTTTAAAGTGTAACTTTAACACTACAGTACAGGAAAGTTCCTGTGTAGCTGTTATAAAGGTACAGTGTAATTACAGAATGCTAATCAATGTGATGTGATTAGTTCACCTTGTTACAACACAGTTATTCCACAGTAATTATGTAAAACAAATGTAAAGTTATGTAAAACTTGCTTCCTTTAATAGCTGGAAAAGACTCTGATCTGTAGTGTATCAAAAATATACACTTGTGTAATTACATGAGGCAAAACTGACGTTAACACACGTGTAATTACATAGGCTGTACTTCTGTAATCCATCTGTGACACTGACTAAATCATCAGCAGGTACAGTGATGTTGCATATGTTATTCATGTGTAACTACACAGTTATTAGAGACACTTAATATAAAGTGGGACCCATACAATTGTTTTATTCAGTAAGTAAAGTCACACCGTACATTCCTGTTTACTACTCCGCACCAGATTAAACTCCGACTTCCTCACATTTCATACCACTCTGGCTCTCCTTCAGCTCTCTGGCCTCATTCTAAGAGGAACTTCAGTGTTCTTCACCTTTGACTCATATCAGAGTGAACTGTTCTCAGCCGTGCCCTCGCCACATCATGCTAATATACAATGCTGGCTCATTTCCTCCCCGTCTTTCTCACTTCTGGAAGTGCTTGGGCAATTTTCCTTGCATTTAACGCGTATCACAACATTGATTTGATACGATTTGACGCTCTTCCATTTTAAACCTACGAAACAGGCGCAAAAACACAGCACAGACAACCTGAAATGAAACTGTGACATTACGTCATGACACACTTCTAGAGGCCAATGATACACGGGCGTGTGGTTGTGCTGCCATGGTTTTCGGACACGTCAGTGGTCACGTGACTGAATGAGTAAAGAGAAAGAGAAAAAAATCTGCCTGAATAAGCAGGTAGAGTAGGACATATTTACATGGAGACTGTCTCAACTGACTCAGTGATCATGTGACTTTATGGCAAACACGTCATGCTTTGGCTGGTGGTTTCTTCCAGTTTACACAAGCTAATGTTTAGCTACAGCACAAACAATAGGGAGTGTCACTATGACACATACGCCACCAATTAAGGTTCAGCGGAGGATACATCATTGCTTCCATTTAGGGAGGACTAATTCTGGGGAAAAAAAACATTGGTAAACATTTGGCAATCAAACAAATACATTTATAAAGATCATATAAACACTTCCTCTTATTTAAAGTGTAAAATATTCCTATACCCAAACCAATATACTGACTTATTTTATTAAATACAGGCTAGTAGAACTTTCCCAGCCTTTGAAAAGTCAGGTCTCTGAAGACATGTTTACTCATTTGTTAAGCTCATGACATTTCTAGGTCCTAAAACTGGTCAGCAAGTCCAAATATTTAGTCTTTGGGGTGGGTCAGCTGGAACAGGTTTCTGTCCATATGACTAAACATGAGCTAATCCACCTGAAGGCCCACCAACAACAGAGCAGGCCACAGGAATGCAAGCTGGAATGACATGTGAGTAAGTAAGCTCCTCGCATCACAATCAAAGAGTATAATCTATGATTACATAAAGCTATCTCACTCCAAGAGCTGCCACATCACGAGGGTGCAACAATGAGCAGTCAGCGAGGAAGCAGTTGAGAAACTGGAATTGTGACAACACATGGAATCAAGCACAGGGGGCAAAACTGATCAATGAGGGCTGGTGATTACGTACTAGAGGAATGGTGGGGGGGGTGGCGGAGACGGCAGACGACAAAAGCCCCAAAGACAAAGGCCAGACAGCCAAAGGCCTGTAAAGGATAAGCCGGAAAGACCCATCTTCTCTAATTGGCTTATGTCTCTGTGTGAAGTCTGTGGCATCTTAACTTAATTTGTGTTGTTTGTTTGTCGCCATCATAAAATTCCAGCTGCAGATTCATTGTGTAGAAATAACTGTGCTTAATGGTTTCATTTACAAACAGCCTTGTTTATTGTATTCAACTATTACTTTTTCAAGCCTAAAGAGGCCTTACATGCTAAAATGTATAACTAATATATATATATATATATATATAAATAAAACTAAATAATAACTCATGCTACCCTCTGAAAGTACTAGACCAGGGGTCTTTAATTAAATTCAATAAGGTCCAGTTAGAGAAAATTTCCTCAAGCAAAGGTCCAGAACATCATAATGTCTAACTTGCATCATGATTCAGTGCCATATACTGTTTACTGAAGTGGCCTAGTAGGTATATCAACATCTTATACAGTCAACAACTGAATGTCAAATCACATAAAATACAATTCAATAATATTTCAACATTTATTTTCAGCTTCCCCTCTGACTCACTTTCTTCTCTGACTGCTGTTTCTCGCCTCGTCCCTCCCCTGTGTGTTCGTCACTCACTCGAGTCTCAGTGCTCATCGTAATGCACAGATCTGATTGGCTGAGTAGCGTCACGTGTGATATTTACAACGCATGCGATTGGTCTGTGAGTCTCCCGGGCCGTTAAAGCTACCGTAAAAGCTAGAAAAGTTACGCAGATTAAAATAGGACCACCCAGTCGAAATTAAATAATTCTCCATAGTTTATCGGTTATAGGTTCAGGTCCGCACAGGACAGCGCCTGGGTCTGGACTCGGACCGCGGTCCGCCTATTAGTGAGCGCTGTACTAGACCAAGTTTTCATAAGCCACATGGTGCCCCAACAAAGGCATTCATTGCTTTCTTTGATTTACACACTCAGCTCACATCCTGCTTGTTGTGGAAATATAACAACTGTGGAAAATGACAGTCAGCCTAAACAACTGCGGTCATCTCAAATAACCGCGATTAGATGATTATGTAATAACTGTGACAAGCCTACTGTAAACTGTGTCCCTTATCTTGGCGTCTTATTGTGCCTTTTAGTCTTTTACGTTTTTGTTTTGGTTCTATTTTAGCCTCATACTTTATTTACAAGTCATCTATTTTGAATGGACTGGTTTCAACTCGTATGCAGCCCTTTGTTGATTTTAATGCACTCTATAAATATACTGGACTTGGATGGACTGAGGGTGATGTCAGACGAGAGAGGTGCATGACAATACTCACTGAAGGCTCCAGTGTATGTGGGCTGGGTGAGGTCTTTGGGCACCTTCCTGTAGATATCGAACCTGGAAGGAAGATGGAGAAGGGGAAAGGGGGGGGGGGAGAAAGAGGAAGAATGGTCAGAGGAAGTGTGGGGAGAGAAAACGTAAACACGCGAAGCTCCTGGGAAGCGGACGTGTGAAGGCACATTCTGTTCCCATAGTGGTGAAGGTTATGACAAGAGAGCTGAGGAATGTTAACTATGGCAGCGAGCCATGAAAAACTCAGACACAGCGAGGCACAGCGGATCGCCTTCGGCCTCTGGAGCTACACCTCTTCCTCTGCGTTCCAGACTTTGGCCTGCGACCTCCACTTTAACCCCTCGGCCCCGGGGCCACTTCTCATACCAGTGTGACTGAGGTCATAGCGAAGGCTGTCAACACTGACTGAATGGCCCCCTCTCACACCTAAAAGGAAGTAAACAATCACAACGGCCCCCAATTTCTCCACAAAGTAAACTTCAGGAAGAGTAAGTATTTAAAGTGCTGCTCTTAAAACTATGAAGAGGTGAAAGCAGGTTGATTTATTTAGCTAAACGGACGTGCACTAGCAAATTCCACAGTAATGGGCCTGACTGGCCACGGCACCCGTGATTTGTGAGGCTCTGCACAAATATGCACTTAAGTTAGTGCTCTGTCAAAAAGCCACATTCCAGATTTCATGTATGTGGAAAAACGAAGGCCCGTTTTTCCCCAAAGCTAAACACTGGTTGAAAAATTGACTATAATAAAGTAAAAACACAAATGCTTTTTGCTTCAGTAATAAATCACACTAACGCTTTAATATAAACTATGCTGCATTGCTCCTTTTTATAAATGCCTTTGAAAAACTACGTCCTGCAATTCTACACATATTTCTCTGATTTCTGTCCTCAATTTTTTGGCATTACATGGTGAACTACCTGTCTGTATCAGTCCCAGCTGCCAAAAGAGATGCACTTCTATTCAAATACAAGGTATACTGGGATATTTAACATACACAATACTGTTAAATATCCCAGTATACCTGAAATACTATCAACGCACTTTAGTCACAGTTCAACTGAAGGTTAGAAGCTCAAACTACTCTGTTTTATTGATATTCTTCAATACTCAAAGTGCTGGGTGTCTAAAAAATGGATTGTTATTAAGACTGTCAAAAAGAAACAGGATTCCAGAAATGAATGAAGACTGCTGTACCATTACACCAACCGCCATGAGGGACTTTTTTCCAGATACAGAAATCCCCCAAAATGTTGAACCACAAACACATTTTCACTATTGAAAATAATGACATTCAGAACAATACATGTAATTGTTACTACACACAGTATCTTATATATACACACTTTTACCTTAATACAGTATTGATCATATCATAAAACATGACAAAAGGTTAGGTAATTATCGAAATATTGATTTTATATCACATGTCTAGTTGCCCTTTACAATGTGTTAGAATTTAATGACAAAAAGAGCAAAAGAAATGTTCCAAAATGACTTTTCCTATTAACTTCCATTGAAAGTTAACAGAGTTTCTGCCTTGTAACATTACCATATTGCAGATACGAGGTTTCGTTATGACAGCGATGATATCTTCATACGAAGCAAACTGAAACTAAAGTAAAGGGCAACTGAAGGCAATAAGAGGGGGTTTCAGTCTACTCTGCAGCATCTGTTTGTAAAGTAAGGTTAAAAAGGTAAGATTAGGAAGTTGCAAACTGTAGTATTCACCTCTCAGTCCAGTCGTACATTCATACCTATGGAAATCAAGCTGCGAAAACAGCCCATTTTGAATTCATTGCTTATGTGAGGTCACAAAAAACAATGCATGTACATGTCGCTGCTGTCAGGACAAAACCTTGTCTCTCCAGTTTTGTCGTTTTTCAGTTTTTGAGATAATTTGAAAATACCTGTGGCCCTTTACATTGTGTGTAAATTTGATGATGAATGGACCAAAAGAAGTGGCCAAAAATGACTTGGAAAAAGGTCTGGTTCCATTGACTTACATTAAAAGTAAAGTAGGTTTTTTCCTTCTCCTGTAAAGTTACCATTTTGGAGATACGAGGTTTTGTTCCAACAACAGCGATATATGCCCCTTTAAAGCCTACAGCAGTTAGCCTTTCCCATGCACACTGAGGTTATAAGAAATGTTTTAGCCTGGTCTGCTTTTTGAAGGAGCCAACCAGAACAGAGCTCATTTACATATATCAGTCTTAGAGGCCCAGCCAAAAAAACAGTCTGTGTAATTCTAAAGAATAAAGAGAGGTTGGAAGATGGTCTTGTAAAGAGGAATTACGACCGGTTTTGGTACCTACACAATCATTACAAGTGGACCAAAACAAACAAACAAACAAACAAACAAACATACAAAAAATAAAATAAAAAAAAATGTAGGGCCGTTTAAAAAACAGAAATATATCTAAGAAGGAGAGAAATATAAAGCCATTCGAAATATTCAGATACAGACAGGGTGAACATCTATGTGAGACACAGGTGGAGCCGTTTGTATGCAAAACCTGCATGCAAAATAGATGATCTCACTTTTGATAAAGGAGAAGCTGATAAAAATGAGTTTGCTTCTTCAGAAGCCTCATTCTTTTCCATCTCGCAAATGCATTTCAGGAAAGCTTCTTTTGTTTACTTTCCTTTGAAACGGCATAAAAATACTGAAAAAAGGACCTTATGGACCTGAATGATATCAGCGACAGCCTCCGCTCTCAGCATGCGGATAATCTGATCTGCCCTGTAGAGAAAGCTCGAGCATTGCCTTTTTTAGGAGCTTTCTCGAGCCGAGCTGCTCCACAGCCAAACTATTCCGCTCGCGGAGCCTGCGAGACTCAAAGCCAGGCCTTTTTCGGCGCTAAACTCCTGCTCCACACCTCCACCGCGGCCTTGGCCCGGCCCTCGCTCTCGTCAGCCTTGCAAAAAACATGAACATCTGGGCGCATTTCTTCCACCGAGCGCTGCCCACAAAAATCACAGCTGACGCGATGCAAGAAGGGGGCTGACTTCCTGCTGTATCAAATAACCTGACGTTTCTCAGTAACTCCATTAATCCCGCCTCATAGAAAGGACGTAGTAAACATCTAACCTCGCTGGAGGATATTTTGGACAGAGGTAGACATTCCTAAAGTGATTGATGGCTGAATCTCATTTCCTGTCTGGCTGTAATCTTCTGGATTAAGAACGTGGCACTTGGCGTAAATTTCCTTCTTATTTGATGACTTACACTTAGATAATTTAAGAAAAAAAAAAAATTTTGTTAACAGTATTTGTTTTAACCGACACTCATCACAGTCACAAATCAGGTGCATATACTTCATATCTTTCTTAATCGTGTCCGGTTACCTGATTAATCTGCTAACTGATTAATCTACTAATCAAGTAACATGCTGAGTTATCTGATTAATCCACTTTCTGAAGGCACACGAGCAGCAGATCAGAACGTACCATCATGAGGCAACTGAAATATGTGGATTATAGTGTTCTTTCTTACGAAATGAGACGTGCCTGGTGTCTCTGCGATTATTACCTGAATATCTGAAGGAGGGGAGGGAGGCTATAACTTCTCCATCAGTGAGCCAAGCCTTGGATTTGGGCTGAATGTTCAGGGAAACGAGCCAGGCCGCAGGTGTGCCTTGTTTTACTGCCCCCCCCACTTCTATTTGGTTAAAAATACAGGCAAAGCCGACCTCATTAATGGCACAAGCACCATCACGTCACTGATTCATAAACAACCCCATTACCCTCCTTCCATTTTTACAATGCAAATTCCCTGAATTTGCCTGCCAGAGTCAATAGGACATATGACTCCACTCGCTAAACAGTCATTAGTGTTCTACGTGCAGTACGTGTCGGGTTCATTCATTCAGGCAAAAAAAAGCCCTTTCAATGCATTTACAAGAGTCAGGATGGGTGAATCCAGTACACAATATATCCCCTATTCCACAGGCCATCTACCTGTTTACCTCCAAAAGTAACTGTTCCAGCTGATTACGTCTCTTTTCTTGGAGTGGATCGTCCTCTCTTTGGGTAACACTATCACTGTCCCAAATAATGAGTCACGCTTTGGTTCAGCTGTTGACACTGTAACACAAAACTGTGGGCCTTTATACAAAATGAGCACATTCCGTGCAGAAAGGCTTCCCAGGGTTTGCGCTCGAGCACATTCCGTACCCACACACGAACATATGGAGCGTAATATTTACATTTGCTTCAACTGGTTCAAGAGAAAAGCGGTTCTCATTTCCTGCACTTTAACACAGAACGAACGTCCCAAGCTGTTCTAAGAAGTGTATTAGTCGAGGAACCAATGGACACCGCATGCAATCAGCTAAGGGCCAATAACAAAGCGAGATGTTAATGAAAAAATGACCCATAAATTACAACTACAACAATAGACTGCTATCTATACTGATATACCTCTTTTCACTGGCCATTGAAAGAATATTAAGGACAGCAAGTTAAGTAGGTATAGAAATTGGGACACTTTCACTGACCTTTCAAAACTTCTTCACAACTGATCTTTACATGTTAAATGTTTTATGTAAACAAAGTCATCAAGCGTGGTTTGACGTCAAATGCGCAGAGTTGTTCACAGCTGTGGTGACAGAAAGCAAACATCCTAAGACTTTAACGCCTCTAGAGCTCACAGAAACATTTTTTTTAACACTAAATGGTTCCAAATACATCCCTGACGCCTTAGAATTTTTTTTCATCAACATTTCTAAAATAAGTTTTTTTTTTAATTCATTAATGGCAGAGAGGTACATGGAGGGCACGCAGAACAGTAAGCAGAACAATACCCCAATGCAGAATAGTACTCAAAAATTGTACAACCCCATTTCCAAAAAAGTTGGGCGCTGTGCAGAATGTAAATAAAAATTGAGTGCAATGATATGCAAATCGTAAACTATATTTTTAAAGGAAAATACTACAAAGACAACAAATCAAACTGAGAAATTGGATTGTTTTTTGAAAAATATCTGCCTATTTTGAATTTGATGCCAATAACACATTCCTAAAAAGTTGGGACGGGGGCCTGT